TATATGTCAGAGTTGCACCCAAAAAAAAATCTCATTTACAACGTAATTTTCTGTGATTGTACCATCTATTTATAATTTTTCCTAACATAAATAAAGGTGGGGCTTTCACAAAAATGTGCATGTAAGGTTTTTCCTCTATCAATAGATTCTCTTTTGATTGCCACACAATCAAATTTGCCAAATATATATATATATATATATATGTATTGTAATACTATTTTTTAAGTTATTTCATCATCTTATATGTGACTTTCAAACAATACAACATGGTTATCAAGGTATGACAAGAAAGCTCAATAATAAAATGATTTTTTTGTACAACATACTTGTGCTAATTGTTAGGGGTGATTAATGGATATATCGATTTGTCAAAATTGACCGAATCGAATCGATCCGTTGTATTTTGGACGGATGCGTGATTACAAGTGGACAGTTACAGATTGATTTTCTCCAATCTGCCAATCTAGCGGATGGATAGCGGATTTGAGATTCCTTTGGCCGCAATCGAACTGTCAAACCGCGAGCACCCCTAGTAATTTATAAGACTTTGTGTTTTCAGTTTGTTTAAATATTTTGTTTGTGTTTTCAATTAAAAAAGAATTTAAATATTCTGTTGAAAAAAAACTTTCAACTTGAATATTTTTTTTGAATTGAAAAAAATAAACGTATTATTTATCTATATTTTTTTGTTATTAAATCTATCTCTAAAAATAATAAATAGAAAATATGATATATATTGGTTGGTTTTTGTTTTCAAAAACAGATATAAAATGTAATAATACAGAGACATACAATCTCTACTACTGTCATGTTCATAGTTTTGGTGGTTTTAATTATTTTTATATTTTAAGAACCATAGATTGTAATACTTTATGTGGATGAAGAATGCTGTGATTATAGTATGTGGATGAAGCATGCAGTGATTGTGATATCCTAAAGTTTTAAATTTTCTTACTTTAGATGAGACACGCAGTGATTGTAATATTTTTTTAAATTATTGAGTGTAATACTTTCTTTTTTTTTTAGGAAGTGCACAAGTTGAATTATGTTGAAAATTTATAAAATTTTAAACCGCCAAACTGATTCGCATCCATCTGCCAAACCGCCAATCCGCTCAATCCACATCCGCAGGATTGGCGGATGGATGCGGATTGATTTTCTCCAATCTACCAATCTGGCGGACGAATGACGGATTGAAAGTTCTGTGGCCGCAACCGACCCGTGCTCACCCCTACTAATTGCACATTGGTTTAAATAAACGTGTGCTACTCTATCAATACTTTTCAAAAACAAAAATGATCCAGACCCTTTCCAAATATTGACCCCCACGACCCCTTGTCCTGTGATTGGTTAGATTTTTGTTTTTTTATTTTTTATTTTTTTTTTCTTCCCCTAATCACCAACCCCACGTGTGTGGGGTGGTGGAGATCGGTGATTGAGGGGTCTCAATTACTTCTCTTAAAAATTAAAACAGTGTGTAAAATAATATAAGTAGGGTCCGTTATGAGGACTTGCCGTTTCTGGTCCGTCAGCCAATGATGGTGATGGAGTCCTGCCTCTGCCCATTCCTTTTTTAATACAAATTTTTTTTCTTACATTCCAAAAAAATATCTTGTTGGGATGACAAAGACATTGGTTATTGAATTGAATTTTTTTATTATTATTATTTTAATTTGAGATTATAAGTTTTATTTGGGTTGGATTTTTTAATTTTTATAAGAGAAAAAGAAAAATAATTATGATTTAGATATAACATTTTATCTTATTAATTTTTTAATTTATTTTATCTTTTTATGATTATTTTATCCCCCACTTTATTTTAGTCCCATACCAAACAAACATTGTAGATTACGGCCCAAGCATTATGATATTTTTTTATATAAAAAAATATATTGCTCAAATTAATAAATTTATTTTTTTTATTTTTTAATTATTATTATTATTATTTTTTTTTTTTTTTTTTTTTTTTCCTTTTACCTAGATAGAGATAACTCGCAAGTCATGTTAATAAGAAAAATAAAATTTATTAATTTATAGGCCGGCTCGGAGTTTTCAAAAACCTAACATTGACAAATGATAAGTTTGATTTTATATATTACTGTCAAATTATATATTAAAATTTTACTCAAATAAATAGAAAAATCATGTTAACAATAAGAAAAAAAAAAAAGGAAAATTGGTCTAGGATCCCTCCCCCACTTTTCGTAATGGAAGAGATCCACGATATTATTTTTTGATGTGTAAGGTCCCTCCCATCTATCACAGAGAAATTCAGCCCCTTTCATTTTCTCTACTCTCACTCATCACCACGATCAAACACGCACACACACAGAGTTCACTGTTCGTGATCGGAAACGCAATCATCATCACTCTGTTTCTGAAATACAGATCGATCATGGAGAGCTGAGATGATCGTCGGAACCCGGCCTGCCTTTCCTTCTTCAATGGCGCACTCTAGCAACCTCCCCTGCGACGAAGACGGCATTTGCATGATCTGCAAGAAGAAGTCGGCGGAGGACGAGACCATCACCGAGAGAGTGAGGGAGCTTGTGTGTTGCTGTATGTGTATCTCTTTTCTTTTTTTTCTTTTTTTTTACACCAACAACCACCAGCACAATCTTGAACCCCGAAAGATGTGAAGAAGAGAGAAGATGCGAACTCTAATGCTGCTTTGTTTTCTTCTTGCTTGGCTCACTCTCGTTTCATCTAGCTCTAGCTCTGGTAATTAAATTCTCAGCTTTATGCATTGTTTGGTTGTTAGAGTCAAAGGTATATATTATGGAAGGCAACATCTCTGGGTTCAACTCTCTGGGTTGATCTAGAGAATTTCTCTGGTTTCAAGCATGGATCTTTTGGCATGTTTAACATTAAAGAAATTTTCCTTAGGTTCCACACATCCAGTAACATTAACGAAATCTTTTGGCAGAATTGAAGAATTTGTAATTCATAATCATATAACCAGGATGCTACTAGAAAATTCAATCCAACCTAGAGAAATTCTGGGAATTTCCCAGAGAAATTCTTTGCCCAGAGAAATTTTCCAGAGAAATCCTCCAGAGAATTTCTCTGTGAATTTCCCAGAGAAATTCTGGGTTCAAACCAGAGAGAATTGAAATTTCTCTGAGTACCAAAGAAATCCAGAGAAAATCCAGTCTGAGGAAACTAGAGAATGAATCTGAATCCAGTGTGAGCTATGAAACTTATGTATAGTTGGTATAGATCTTTGATAATTGCAAGCTCATCACTGCCTGGTAAGCCCATACAACTTTGTTGTCTTCAATTTTTAGTCTTAGTCCATACAACCTCCTCTTCTTCTTCTTGCTCAATTCTCTATCTCTCATACAAATCCACAGAAGTATATACAAAGCAGCTAGCACACCAATAGAGATACCTTTGACCCCAATCTATGTGCTTGCAGTGCTATACTGGGTATATAACTTACAAATTGATCCAACCAAAATTAGCTAACATGGAGATTACCAAATATACTAAAATGCTTTGAAAGTCAACCCCGACCTTCCTCTTGGTAGAAAATATGCATTCTATAATGACGTCTTTAATTTTACATTGTTTACAAAATAACAGAGAATACCTTACCGAAGCAGTTATTGGCAATAGAGAGATTTTCTCTGCTTAAAGATAATAGATCAATCATCGGGGGATAACCCTCAAGCAGACAAGAATCAACTTAAGAGTATAGTTGGCTTATTAAATAGAACTACAAATAGTAGGTTAGTCCCTCTACTTCACTATAAAAGTGGATTTGACCTTAATGTTTGAGGGAGATGCTGATTTTAGTGACTCACATTGGCAGCAAATTGTGTAGAGAAAATTTGTGTAGTTTTGTGTGGTTTTATCCAAAGAAGATTATGCTAGAGAAAATTTGTGTGGCTTTGCGTGACTCTATCTAGAGAAAATTGTGTTAGAGAAAATTTGTGTGACTTTGTGTGGTTCTATCCAAAGAAAATTGTGTAGAGAAAATTTGTGTGGCCTTATGTGGCTCTATCAAAAGAAAATTGTGTAAAAAAAATTTGTGTTTTTGATCAAACCAGACAAAATTGAACAAAAGACAAAAAAAAAAAAACAAACAAACAAACAAACAAACAAACAAATATGAAGCTATCTAGAGAAATTTGTGTGGCTCTATCCAGTAACTTCACCAAAAGTCACCAACCAAAAGTCTTTATGTATAAAAGTCCAAAGACCAAACAATTGCAGATATAGACTTTTGGCAAAATTAACATTAACGAAATCTTTTGGCAAAATTGAAGAATTTGTAATTCATAATCATATAACCAGGATGCTGCTAGTGGAGGATCAAACCCACGGCAAATAAATTTAAATTTTCTCTGGAGTCCATGAAAGGCTAAGGAAATTTCTCTGGCAGTGTCCATGAAAGGCTAAGGAGGTCAGAGAAATTCAAAATTTCTCTGGACCAATTTTCTCTGGCTTGAATTTTTGCTGGACCAATTTTCTCTGGATTATTGTTGAGGGACCTTAGACATCATGAAAATGTTTGATGTCCTTTATACTATAAAATCATAATATCAGGAACCTTAAAAAAAATACCCCAAAAAAAAAATACTAAAACTGAACAATATAAAATTATAATACCAACTAAAAATTGAATAAATTTTAGTAAAATATCACTTAAACATTGCTTCACCTCATACTTTTTAGTTACAAAATTACTAATTAAAATTACATAATCTAACTAACATGACTTATCTTTCAACGGATAATATTATTAACTTATTTAATATTTTTTGTGAAATAATTAACCGAAGATAAGATTTTATTCACTTTAATTTTAAAGAACTTCTGTACCCAAACGAAGTGATAGTAACTAATAAGGGGTTCACTGGTAAAAATGATACTTGACCATGCAATCTGGCCTTGATCTCTATCAAGAAAATGTTTACACAAAACTAACCCCACAAACCATATCACAACTGCTTTCCAAATAAATTGTTACTGATACAGGCTTGCACACGGGACCATTCTCATATGTGATCTTCGTTAAGATATGAAGTGGTCGAAGTTACAACCACAACCACATCAAATAATAACTCCAAGTTACGACTCGGGAGTTAATCGAGTTACAACACAGAGTGCTTAGGTTATAACTTCAAAGGAGTCCAACGGCTAATCCATACCATGAGATGCACTTCAAAGAGTAACTCCTGAATTTCTAGAATTAAGTATTCATACAATCATTGTTGAAAAGAAAAGGATTAATATGAAGAAACTGACATTGAGTTTGAATAATGATCCCACGGAGTACAGAATAAGAATGCCTGATCAAGCTACAATGACACGTAGACTTGGCTTCAATTCTTCTCTGTATTGTTTTCGAGCTCCCTCCTCAGCTGCAGAGAAAAGTCATCGTTGACATCATCATCATCCCAGTCGTCTTCCCACTGCTGCGTTATCTCTTTTCCTTCTTCCTTGGCCTCCCACTCTGCCATTGCCATATCGTTTTAGAAAAAGTGATGATCAATAACAAAAAACAAAACATAAGTATAGCATCATATAGACAACTACATATCAGAAATGAAGCACAAGATGTGCAGTTTCAACATCATAACAGAAAAAAATGACGAGTGTGACAAGAAATGCAATCAAACAAGAACAAAACTGGCAGTAAATGTGCACATTTTGCACCACAAAATAACATAGGTGGGTAAATCCCACCACATATCTTATCTCAGAAGTAATTTTGTAATTGACACCCCGAAAAAAATAATAATAATAAAAAAAAAATTGATAATGAATGTTATTGTGTCAATTTTTATGTGTGATATAACAAAATTAGCAGTGCAGAAACCTAACATCACCCAAGCATTGCAACTTGTGCCAGACTAAATAAAAACCAACAACTTACTGCACTGTCACCCCCTCTATATAATGAAGCAAAATCTGTCACCCATCCAAGTGGAATCACCCATCAGTTCACACTTCACAATTCACAGTATTAAGTGAGAGTAACCAGATCAGAACATCAGTCCCTCTCACAACTATTTTGTAATCAGCTCCTTCATTTTGTGACGGTGATGGGTTAAATTTTTCACCATGGTTACATATATTGATCTCTTTTAAGAAGATAGGGGACCACTGAAGCAATATTCAGTTGTGAATGTCTCACAATGTTAGGCATTGACTCTTCCTAATCATGATCAGTGAAACACGAAATAACAAATAAGAAAGATAAAATGAATCAAATCATACACACAAGAACAAGGATTTATGTGGTTTACCTCAACATAGGGCTATGTCCATGACTGTTGCGGTTTTCACTATGATAAAAAAACAATACAACTCTCTTACAGAAATATGCGTCCCCTTCATTTATTTATAAGCATAGAATTAGGACAACACGGAAGTAACAGAAAAATTACCAAAGTACCCAAAAAATTCGTACCCCAAATCCTTGGGGGAAGCCCTCATTAGATTTAGGGTTCAATAAACAGTACTTATCTGGGTCCACAATGGGACCTACTTCCAGGAGTTCCCATGTCAACGTGTCCTTGTCGGGTGTGAAAAGTTGTATAACAAATTTTCCTTCCCATTGAGTTATAAGGGTGATGAATATTCACGACCTCATGTTATGGATTCTCAAACTACTCATTTTACTTATAACAGTAGTCACTGAATAAGGATTTTTTATTATTAATTATACTCCTTCCGTCCCAAAATATTAGTCATTTCTTCCATTTTTTATTGTCTCAAAATATTAGTCTATTTTCAAAAATCAAAAACTAAAATAATATGAATTTCCTATTTTACCGTTCTTTTAAATTCATTAAAAACGCAAAAAGTACAATTATGACAATTGATATTCCTAAAAAAATATATTATCAAAGGGAAATTTTGAAAAATTAATATTTTTAATGTGCAATAATTGTACTATCAAAAAAAGTAAAATTCCCCAAAAAGGACTAATATTTTGGGACGAATGGAGTATAAAGAAATACTAGTAGTTAGAAGAAAAATAATATTGGGCCATGTATGCATTTACCATTAATTTTCTTTTATCTTAGTTTTCTCTATCTTTTTCCTCATTTCCCTAACCCTCGCTCCACTTTTACCCCTTTGAACACCCAACCAAAGCTAACCATTCAATGCAAACTTTCATCATCATCTCTCATCAACCCTCACTCAAGCCAAAAATGTTGGTCTTTCTCTCTCTCTCGCCATTACACCCATCATCACAATACAACCTCCAACAATCTATCCACTTGGGCAAACCCAAACCAAAAACACCAATGAGGAAGAAGTGGGGAAGGCAGTGGGCATAAAAGTAGTATAAATCTGTCAACTATTAGTTTCAGAGTCTTAGAGAGAGAGAGAGAGAGAGAATTAACAAGACCAATGGTCCTAGTTTATGGGTTGGGGTTGGGGTTGGGGTTGGGGTTGAGGGTGGTAGATTCGGGTTGACGTTGTAATTCGGCTGCAAAATTGGTGTTGTGGCGGTGGTGTTTTGATGGAATGTTTCGGACTTAGTGTGAGAGGAAGACATAAAGAGGGAACTTAAGGAGTAAAGAGAGAGAAGGGAGAGAGAAAAAGAATGGATTCACTTTTCCATGTTAGAAAGTTAATTTCAATTAAATAAATCTTTTAAAATGGTAGGCAAGGTTCTGAAAAGCGGTTGTGGTTGCCGTAACGGTGGTGGTGGGGCGGTTGCGGTTGCGGGGTGTAAAGGCCGTAGCGTAACGGTTGCGGTAATCAGAATCGTGAATTTTTTTATTTTTTGCACATTTTGAAAAAAACTTACCGATACGCACATTTTTTTTCCATGATCATATTTATTTATTGGATTTTAAAATAAATATTGATCAATTTTTATAAATTTTTAAGTTTGATCCAATATATTTCATATTTTTAAATCACTATAAACTGAGTTTTTTACATTTTATTTTAATAATTAATGATTTTATATTTTACAAAAAATAATCACTAACTATTATATATAAGATAAACAATGACAAAAGTAAGAGAATAAATAAAAGTCTAAATATATATATATATATATATATTAATCAAGCCAAATAGATAATGATCACACTTATTATTATTATTATTATTTTCAAACAATATATAAATAGACACACAAACAAAATGGTTGAGTGATAATAGCTGAATAGAATAGCACAGGTCTCACAACTTTAACAAATCAATAACATGTTCTTCATCTTCCTTATTCTCTCTCTCTATCTCTTGTTCCTCCATCTTCCCTCTTCTCTCTCTATCTCTTTTCCCCCATTTTCAATTTTTTTTTTTTTTTATGTTTTTTTGAAAGAAGCAATTCGGAACCGTTACGTAACGGTGCGTAACAAGCCGTTATGGCCGTTACGGCACCGTTACGACCGCTATAGCAGCCGGTACGGCCAATACACTTGTAAATCTCAATCACACTGCAAAAGCGGCCGTAACGGGTGGCGGTAACTACCACAACCGTTACGTAACGGCGTTACGTAACGGTTGCGGCCGCTTTTTAAAACCTTGATGGTAGGCTAATTAGATTTCAAATCCACACTCATAGCTATTACCCAAAAAATTCTGACAATGGAGGTCAGTGTAATTTTCAATACCACCGGGCTAGTAAATGTTTTATAGCCAAAACCAAGGGTGATAAATGTATTATAGCCAAATCATGGTCAATGTAATTTACCATAAATTTAATGTCAGCTCATCAAGGGGGAAAAAAATAAAGCATAGGGATCAATTAGATTGTGTACACACATATACACAAATACAAATAGAGCATAATGTGCATATACAAGCTAATAACATGAAAAAATAGAGTGAAACTATTCTCACTCTACTTTTGTCCGAACATTATACAATCCATTTTTTGTCTTCATTATACTAAAATTACAATAAACCGCTTTCTTTTACAATACTTGAGTCTTGATGCATTTCACAATTCTAGGGCATAGATAGAACCCATACTACCAGACCTGCACCTTGAATATACGATATAGATTTAAATTCAGTGTGGTGCGACCATATCCACAATGAATTTTATCCGAAAGATTCAAACAGGACATTTTTTGAGTATTTTTTTTTTTTTCCTGGGCATTCCCGTGGGAAATGGTATGGAAATCTTAAGGATTCACCAATTGTTAGACAGACTAACTAAATTACTACACAAATTAAAGAACAAATCAAAAATAAAATAAATAAACAAAGCACATTATTAGCCGAATATCTATGCCTATTAAATGAAACAAAAAAGGAAATTTACCTTGGTTGATTTCGAACTCTTCGAATTCGTCATCGTCTTCGAATAGATCGATCTTTGCGTCTTCAGTTGCAGCCTTGGGTTCAGTTGCCATTCCTGATTTCTTCAAATTGATTTGAGGAGAGAGATTAGCTCAAATCTGGAGGCTAAAATCCTAAATTTTGCAGAATCAAAGATATGCGAATGTAAATATATAGATATAATGATAAGAAAATCGAGTTTTACCGAGTCGACGAATCTTCGGAAAATCTCTGAATCGAAGCTAGGGTTTTTTTATGAGCATCCGAAGAACAACCTACTGGTACGAACTTGAATTTTGTTATATATACTCTCGGAGGATCCCTCCGGTCAAAATCTGGACGGGAGGAGTTGTTTGGGCCGTGGGCCTTATCACGATCCGTTTTGTTGATATAAATAGTTTATTTATTTAGGCTTGGTTTGGGGAGTGAGTGGATTTTTTAGTTTTTTAGTTTTTTTTGATTATTTTAATTTGGGTTAAAAAATTTGGTTTCAAAAGAGTTTTTTGACTTTTTTTGTGAGAGAATAGTGTAATGATTATAGGTTGAATGTGATGTTGTGTTTATTGTGGCTAAAATAGCTTATTTTATTTTTTATTGCTAAAATAGCCAAAAAAGCCTCAAATCTTGCTTCCCAAACTATACCTTAGTATTTTGTGTATTTTATCTATATAAATAATTATGTGGATTTGATGATTATAATTTATTTAATTTATTATTTTTATCGTCTAAATTATGTATAATTTATTTTTTAAAAATATAATTATCACCTAGTCTTTTAGTAAAAAAGCACGATAAATTATTCAAGTTATAAATATTAGATCGACCTAATTTCTTTTATAAATAAAATGCATAAATAATTTAATAAAATAAACAATTCAAACAATCAAAACAGGTCTCATAGTAATCCCAACAACCCAAACAACCCATCTAATCTAAATTTTAGACAAGAATAAATCCTCCTATACTCGCGCCCAAGCTATCCCAAATGGGAGGGAGAAAATCAGGTTGGTTTTAATTTTTTTTAACTTTAGTTTTTTTTTTTCCTTTTATTTTTTGTGAATATTTTTATAATTTTAAACTTTTTATTTGTATTTTTTTAAATTCACCTTACTTAGATTTATTTGAAAAGTAAAATATTTATATAAAAATATTTTAAAAATTAATAAATACACAAGAATATGAAATATTTATTGAGTTTTTGTTTTTTTTTTTATATTTTTGGTATTTATTAAATTTTTTAAAGATTTTTTTCACAAATATTATATTTTTTAAATGTGTTTATATTAGATGTGTCTAAAAAAAAATTAAAATTAAAATTTGTTTAAAATATTAAAAAATTCAATGAAAATATAAAAATACAAAAAATAAAAAGTTTCAATATTTTAAAAAATAAATTTAGAAAACTCAAACCGAACAAACTTAACTACGTGATTCCATCTCTTTTAAGGCTATGTTTGGAAACTGGCTAATCATAGAAATCACTAAAAAAAATTACAATTCTTTCTCACTTTTTTTTTCTATTTTTACACCATTTTTTTTATTAAAGAAATTAAAAAATAATTTTAAATAATTTAATTTTTTCACCTCATATTTTAACAAATAAATTACTTCTCAAACGAACCTTATTAAATAGGGGATTTTTTTTTAAGATCCCTAGTATTAAGATTTTATAGTATAAAGGACACCAAATATTTTCATAATGTCTAAGATCTCTCAATTTGATCCAGAGAAATTTCATCCAGAGAATTTCTCTGGACTTCCTAGAGAAATTTCTCTCCAGAGAAATTCTCGTCCAGAGAAATTTCTCCCCAGAATTTCTCTGGACCTCTGAATGTGAACGTGGTAAGAATGCAAGCATCAAACAACACTGATTTGGTTCTATTTCCCCTAACAGCAACAGGTTTAACTATTGTATCAGCATTAAGGATACTTCTGCAGGCATGTTTGTACACTTCATCCCATCATGTTTTCTCTTTTCAACATCATTTCTTGAAGCAAAGTATATCCATGCATGATTTGCAACTGGAGAAATAATTTTCAACAGGGAACATTGATATTGCTTTGTGGAAGTTTGAGACCACCAAATACTACTGCATTGTCATTGATGCTCCTAGCCAACGTGATTTCATCAACTCCACCACTGGTAGTTTTGAAGCCGGTATTTCCAATGATGGTCAGACGCCTGAGCAGCATGCTTTGCTTGTCTTCACTCTTGGTGTCAAGCAAATTATGGGAATTTCTCTGGCCTTTTCCAGAGAAATTCTCTCTAGAAAAATTCCAATTTCTCTGGATGAGAATTTCTCTAGAGAGAATAAGAGATGAAATCGAATTGTTTGAAGCTTAGTGAGATGGCGTAGGGATCAAGTAGCGAGAGAGAGAGAGACAGAGAGATGAACTTAAGCTATGAGGAACTCATATTCATCTTCTCTATATATTGGATGAGTCACATTATCTAAAACCCAATCTCCTTTGAAGAGGGGTTCAAACCAGAAAAAATTACACATGACAGAGAAAATTAAACATGGCAGAGAATTTCTCTCCAGAGAAATTCTAAGAATGTCAGAGAAATTTTGCATTCCAATCTAGAGATTTTCTCTGGATTTTCAGAGAATTTCTCTGGATTTTCTCTGAATTTTCTTTGGATTTCAAGTGAACCATAAAGCATAAAGTTTGTTTGGTTGCCAAGAAAAATAAGTGAAAAATAATTTTCATCCACAGAATACTATGCTAATTGATGATAAATACCAAGTTAAACCTCATCTTTTCCTCCTTTCAAGCACAATATTGTATCTTCATCATCTCACTATGATTACAAAGCGAATGAATAAAAAGAAATATAAAATAAAATAAAATAAAAAATTAGATACTTTCAACTAAACTTAATAATTTCATATCATAATAAGCAATGTGCATTAAAAGCAGTTGTGGCTCAGCATTACAATAGCAAACAACACAATTTACAGCATAGAACATCAATATTCACCTAATTTAAGCACCAATTCTTCTACTTTCAGTTTCAAATTTGGTAAACGCAAGTGCATATATATAGTATTATGTACCAAGATTAAAGCTAGAACGCATGGCGGAGAAAACTGACAATGCCAAGTCAATAATGTTCCAATCAAATGCAGCAGATATGATCAAACAATAATCTAAACCGCTCACAACACCACCACCACTTGGATTCAAGTTTTCTTCGATCAAATCCAAGGCTTCATTTGCATTTTTTGATGCAGAGACTCAGTTAAGCAAGTCATCATCATTATTGAACAATTCAGAAACAAATGAGGGCTCGACGTAGAGGTCGAAGATGGCGCGACAGGAGCGGAGGAAGCTGAATTTGGACTTGAACTGGATGATCTTCTATGTGACGCAAGATCTGTAGCCGTGTTCTTGTGCTAGGTGGTAGTACTTGTCCAAACGATGCTTGCCATTGATTTTGCCCATCTCTTCTCTCTAGGGTTTCGGAGAGAGAGAGAGAGGAAGTGCTGCTCAGCAGTAGAGGAGGAGAGACAAAGAGTCAAATTTCTCTGATATATGTTTAGGAACCTTAGACATCAAAAAATAATTTTGTGGATCTCTTCCATTACTAAAAATGGGAGAGGGATCTTAGACTAATTTTCTCTATTAAGTAAAGAGTAAAATACAAATACATAATATGATGGTTCCTTAAAATACGAATTGATTTATATTGTTCTAAAAATTATATAAGTTTCTAATTCATAACAAATTATCCATTTTTATTAAAAAATTATCAAATCAATTAAATTTTTTTAATGATGTCAGACATATATTTCAATTAACAATTTATATAATTTTGTTATTATATGGGAAAGTGGTTAAGAATTTTATTTTTTCTGTTATTATTAAATAAAAATTTCTGATAATGATATTTGTAATTTTCATAATCATAAGGGATAATTCGTATTTAAGAAAATTTTAAAATATATATTTATAATTTATTCTTAAATAAATCTCTTTTCCTGTTTTTTTTTTTCTTTTATCAAAATATATTATATTCTTACAGTCCCGTCTGTGGATTGATTCACCACCTGCAAATTATGAGAACAAATTTTCTATTTGATCTAAACAGTTGGTTCATAGATTCAAAGATGAAATCTCAGCTACGTTGACATCTAAATACTCTCTTCGTGATCATTTATACTGTGTTTGATTGAAAATTTTGAAAAATAATTTGAAAAAAGAAAGGAAAAATATGTGTTAAATTATGTGAAATGTAAATATATTTTATTCATATTTAACTTGCTTTTTTATTTTTCCTTCCCAAATCTTCTAACCAAAAACAATATTAAAGAATTGCCTGAGCTTATACCTGAAGTTGTTTGCTGGCATAATCTATAACGCTTATGTTGCATTTTACCCACTGGCCTTGTTTGGGAATAGGCTTTTTTAGTAACTTTTTAATTTTTTTGCTAAAATGTGATGTAAAAAAAACTAGAATGTTTGGGATGACTTTTTAACTTTTTACGAAAAGATGTGCAAAAAGTAGAGAGAGAAAAGAATTTTTGACTTTTTGGTATAGATTGTTGGCTTTTTGATTTTTTTAATAACTTTTTAACTTTTTGACTAAAAGGAACACTTGCCAAACGAAGCCTAAAATTTGGTTTCCAATGTTGGCAAACTTTGGCTTTGAGTTCAATAATATCAAGTCAAATTTATTATTAATGATTTGGTACTCTTGAAATATTATTTCACATTATTTATCATTTGATATTTATTAATTTATCTTTTAAAATCTTAACAAAATACTAAACGCCGCAATTTTAATCAATAAATATTAAATAGAGACACCATATAATATTAAATGGGAGACACACCACATAAGGTTATTTTAGAAAGATGGTTAAAAGTCATCTTTCAATTTTTAACCTATTTTGGATTACATTATCTCTCACATTTTTAATGTATTTTTAAAAATAAATAAATAAATAAAAAGTCAAAAAAACTAATTTTTAACTATTTTTCCAAAACAACTCATAATTTTTTGTTTAGAATAATCTAAATAAGTATACTTTTAAATTTTTTTAAAAAAATATATAAAAAAATAAAAAAATAATGTGACTCAAAAAAATAAAAAAATAAAAAATTGTACTTATACAATACTTCCCAAACAAAACTTTACTAGTGAGTTGATAAGCCATTTCAAGAGAGCATTGGATTCTTGATTCTCACGAATCCTCTTATCTTCTTACTAGCTTGCAATTTGACAAAATAATATATATAGCTAGTTGATATGGAGGCTGAGCAAGGAATTCGTAAAATCCGTAATCCGATCCGGTCCAGTCCAATTCGATAGGTTTGAATTGGTTTTTTGAATCCATGGTTCGATTCCGAATTGAAAATTTCAAAATCCGTAGACCACGGATCGGTTCCAGATTGAACCCCACGGTTCCGGATTGGAACCGATCCGGACCATCTAGAAATAATCTATATTTTTATACTATATACCTTCCCACACCATATAATTTCTTATTTGATATAAAAACTAAAATGTAACCTAACCTAATCCAGCAGCCTCACTCATTCACGCTTCTTTCAGGTCTCTATATCGATGGTGTCTCTCTCTCTTCTTTTTTCTGTTTTTTATTTTTATTTTTTTTTTTGATTTCATCTCTGTTTTGTGTTGTTTGTTTTATTTTTAAATGTAAGTAAAAAAAATTAATCCAGAGTGTATTTTTTTCTTTGATTTCTGTATGTAAAGAAAAGTACCAATGTTTTTTCTTTGATTTCTCCCATCTTTGATCAGTCTGATTTTATTTCATGTAGATATTTTCTCTGTTTTTCCATGTTTTATTAATGAGAGGAAAAAGATTATAGAACAGGGGTCCATTCTTACAATGGTAAATATAAATCTTTAGGAGCTTTATAATAGTGATGCAGCTTTGTCAAGATGGTAAATTTTTTTTTCTTATGTTGGTTGCTGCTATTATTGTTTTTTTGTAATCAATCTCAAACTAGCATTAATTGAAAAATCTATTTTTTTTCCCCTCTTTTGTTTTTATGTGGTGTCTGAGGAAAATGAGGAAAGAAAGAAAAATAATAACATTGTATCTTTTTGTTAGTGTTGTTTGTTCTGCATTTTATTGAATTGTTACCGACATTAGCCGTTGTAGTAGGATTGATTGGCTGAAGGCTTATGTTTTCTTTGAAGATCCATTAGTCCAAAGGGGTTATTAACAGAATGGCAAGCTTACATGTTTTATTTAATAGGCTACCATCATTTCTTATATGAGTAGAGTTGCTTGAACCCCAAATGTTACTTTTTCCACCGTTTGGGACCCACATGTTTCTGAGTTTTTTTTTTTGGGTGCATCTGGTGAATTTTAATCATGTTTATGTATGTGAAAGAAATCAAACTGTTACTGCAATTATCTTGATTCTTATTGTATCTAGCATTAGCAATATCTGGACTCTTGGACTGTTTGATATTATTGTCGTCTTGATTGGCTCAAGTGAACTTGACAGAGTTTTATCTCAACTACTTGGGTTTGTCTTGATGGCTATCTTTTATTATTCCTTTTCAGGCTGGAAGTAGAACTATTGATTTATGGCTTATGCATTGTATAAGGTTTGAAATTCAGATGAGCCATATGCCTATGAAACATGAATGCACCCTACAGTTAATGATAGTTGTAGATATCCTGTCAAGGCTTGAGGTTCTGTCAAGCTTGTTTACAGGCTGCCATTGGAATGGATGTTGTTTAATTATATTGTTTACAGGTTTTCAGCAGCTATGTTGCTATTGGAATGGAAATGTAATGTCTATATTTTTTTGTTATTTAATTATTTAAATCCGTGGTCCTAAACCGATCCAATCCGTGTTTCAACGGATTGGTTTGGATTGGTTCCACAATTTAAACGGATTGGATTGGTTTTAATTTTTCAGGAACCGTAGATAACGGATTGGTCCTGGTTTTCTCCCAATCCGAACCAATCCGGTCCATGCTCACCCCTAGATATGGTCTCATATAGTGACAGCTCAAATAATTATGAGCAATTTCCATGTCAAAATCACGCATTCTTGACTATAGACCCCCTTCAAATATTTTTTATTTTTTTTTTATTTATTTTTTGTGCCAGTCCAATCTGCATTCAAGCTTTCCCTCTTTGATAACAGAAACGCTGTGACAAAAACTAACAATCAATCATTCTCGTGTTTTTAAAAACAACTTCCTGATATTTCCTATAAAAAAAACTTTCATTTTTCAATATATTTTTAGATATTCGGTTCAAAAGTCTAAATTTAATTTTTGTGGACAAAGTAAAACAAAATGACCAAAATACCCTTCCATATATATCATATACGCCACAGTCCCGAACCCTCTCACTCACTCATCGAATCTCTCTCCCTCCTCCACTGACGGTCCCAAACCCTCTCACTCAGATCTTTGCCTCCCTGTGTCACTCGTCACCGACTTCTGGCACCCAATCGTCTTCGACCTCCGCCACCACCGCCTATTCCTCTACTGTGCAGATCTGGTACCAACATCGGACTCATCTTCACCTCGCAGATCAAAGACCACATATTGATCTCTCTCCTCTCCCTCTCTTCGTAGCACCTCATCCGCCATCCTCCATCGCGCAACACCACCACCGTCACCGCAACTTTCGAACTATCTCGGCTATTCTCGGCAATATTATCTTGATCTAGATTTTGACTGTTTATAGTCTCAGGCATGCCCACACCGCCGACCTACTTGAACCGCCAAATCTTCATTCTCTTTGTTACAATGGTTGAGAGAAAGTGAGAAAAAGCTATGTATTTTATATATATATTGAATTGAATTGAATACAATAGGAGAGCCTCTATTTATAGGCTAAACACAAACTTAGATAAGTATAGAATGAGATAGAGATACAAATAGAGATAAGGATACAAGGAGATAGAGATAGAGAGAGAGAGATAGACTATATCTACAATAAAATGAGATAAGTATAAATCTAAATCTAATATATACATTAACAGGCTCCCTCAAACTCAAGGTAGGTAAGCATCAACCAACTTGAGTTTGGAAACTAGATCACCGAAACGACTAGGGGGATGAGCCTTGGTGAAAATATCAACATGTTGATCAGCAGAACAAATAGAAAGAAGATAAACAGTGCCACGTGTAATATGATGTTGAATGAAATGACAATCAATCTCAATATGTTTGGTACAATCATGGAAGATATCATTGTGAGAAATCTGAATAGCACTCTAATTGTCACAATAGAGAGAGATGGCACCAGGAGAAGAAACACCCATATCAGCAAGGAGGTAGCGAAGCCATAAAAGTTCCTGAGTAGTGTCAACAAGAGCACGATACTCAACCTCAGCACTAGAACGAGCAACAAGAGTTTGTTTCTTGCTATGCCAGGCAATAAGAGAGTCACCCAAGAAGAAACAGAATCCCATAGTAGAATGACGATCAGTAGGATCCCTTGCCCAATCTGCATCAGAAAATGCGTGTAACTGTAGAGATGACTGTGCAGAGTAGTGAAAGCCATGAAAAACATAGTTCCTTTGAGATAACACAAAATACGAATCAGAGCATCCTAGTGCGAAGAGCAAGGAGTAGCCATGAACTGATTGACAATGTGAACAACATAGGCAATGTCTGGACGAATAATTGTGAGATAAACAAGACTGCTAACTAGCTGACAATATGAAGTAGCATTAGACAACATGTGACCGTTAAAAGGTGTGAGACGAGTCTGAGGATCAACTGGGGTAAGAGTAGTCTTACAATCGGTAAGACCAGCACGAGCCAAGAGATCAGAGATATACTTGGCCTAGGTGAGAAAGTAACCAGAAGAATCACGAGAAATTTCCAAGCCGAGGAAGTAACTAAACCAACCTAAATCTTTCATCTCAAACTGGCGACTGAGGAATTGTTTGAGACTAGAGATACCCATTGTGCCATCCCCAGTGATGATCATATTATTAACATAGAGAAGAATAATAATAACACCACGCTCTGTATTGCATATAAACAGAGCAAAATCATAGACACTGGAAGAGAATCCAAAGTCACTACTGGTAGAACTGAACTTGGCAAACCAAGCACGGGAAGCTTATTTCAAACCATACAAAGCACGGCGAAGTTTACAGACCTTGGTGGACGGAACTAAGGAACTAGGAGGAGGCTACATATAAACTTCCTCAGTGAGATCACGATTGAAAAAGGTGTTCTTGACATCCATCTGACAAAGACTCCAATGGTGAGCAGCAGCAATGTCAAGTAGGCTACGAATCGAAGTAAGACGAGCAATATGAGCAAATTTTTCCTCATAATCAATCTCATATTCTTGAGTAACCCCCAAGTAACAAGACGAGCTTTGTAATGCTCAATGAAACCATCAGAGTGGATTTTGATCTTATAAACCCATTTACAACTAACAACACTCTTGCCAGGTGGAAGGTCAACTACATCCCTGTGATGACCCAGACTTGTTGATCGTGACTTTAATTAATTAATTAATTATGCGTTAATGCTAATTGAACTAAATGCCAAATAATTTAATTTGTGCACATCTGTGCAAATTGGAAAATTGTCTGTTAAGGTTACAACTTTGAAATTGAAATCGACAATCTTATTAGGTGCACAATTGAAATTGAGTACATAGATGGGCTTATGGGAATTTTTAGAGCCATTTGGAAAATTTAATTGAAAATTGATTCAGTTTACTGAAATTGTCTGTGATTGAGTGATTGAATTGAGCCTTAATTGGAACTATTAATTATGTTCCTATATGTTGATCATGTGGTTAAGTGTTATTGATTGTTATGAGATTTATTGAATTGTATTGTTTGAATAGATAGGTTAGAATGAAAATTAAACTTGTCTTATTCGCTAATTTTAACAAATTAGAATTAAATAATTGGATAGGAATTAGAGCCTAATTCACATTAGTATATTTTAATTTAGTGTAATTAAGATTATAAGATGATAAGATTAATTTAATTTGAGTCAAATTGATTTTAATTAATTTCTTTAGTATAATTAATTTGAGTCTAATGCTTTTTACTCATCAAAGAATATAGAAAATAGACTTAGTGGATCTTGTTAGGCAGCATTAAACTATACACGTATAGAGAGAGGGAGTAAAGACTTGGTGAGACAACTCAACATAGAAAAGGAAGAGAAGAAAAAGAAAGTGAAGAAAAGAACACCCAGAGAAAGAAGAAAATTGAAGGAAAAATAGGAATTCAACTCAATTCTCTAATTCTAGATAAGAATTCCTTGCTTGTATCTCACCAATTTGAAGAATCACATTCATATTTATGGAATTCTAGATTATTTAAGAAGAATATAAACTTGATGAGGTGAATTAAACTTGATTATAAGAGATGTTGATATAAATGGAAAATTTATACATGCATGTCAAGATTTTTAAAGATTCATGAACATACATTCATTCTCTTGCATGGATTCACAAAATGAAGTAATTTTCCATGAGAGTTGAGGATTTTAAGCTTAAGGATGCAAGTTTTAAGATTAAACATTTCAATTCATGGAGTAAATATTAGAGTTGGGTCTATATAATTATAAAATGAAGAATTAGAAGAATACATGCTTAAAACTCAACATGCATGGCATAATTTTAGTTCAAACACCTATTAGTTTGCATGATCCTTACATGCATGTCATGTTTTCAAGAATCCATGAACAAAACAATCATTTTCGAAACTTATTTTCAAACATGATTCATGGAGTTTGAGAAGAGATTAAACGTGAATTAGAGCTTGGGTTCAAGAAAATGGATGCTTCATGAAATTGAGTTTCAAAAATAGAAGAATGAGTTTAATTTGATATTTAGAGCCTTATAAGAATTCAATTAAAAATTTGATTTAGGTTCGAAAAATTAGATGTAGTCAAATTAAGCCTTAATTGAGAATTAATTAAATTCAATTCAAATTGAGTTAGGCTTAAGATTATGGAAACAAATGTGAAGATTAATTATTTGGGCCTTGATTTGCTTGAAAATGGAGTTGAAATTGCAAAATGTACATATTTATGAATTTCTAATTCAGTAATTTAAACATGACTAAGTAATTGTAATTTCAACAATGATTCATCCCCCCTTTTCCTTTCACCCCCTTTGACCCCCTCTCTCTCTCATTGGTTACATTTTCTTTTTCTTTTTCTTTTTTTTCCTGCTCCTCCAATCACCACCTGCCACGTGGCAAAGGGGGGGTGAGGGGGTAACCCCCAAAAGGGGGTCCCAAGCATTATTCTTGTAATTTAATGTGTATGAACCTAATTTAAGTTTGATTATGTAATTAGTGAAGTTAATAAATGTTGGTATATGATTAGATTATTTATATTTAATTAGTTTTGTTAATACATAGCTAAACATATTTTAATTGGAGGTTGATAATCTAATTTATTTCTAATACTAGTCATCCATATTTAAAAGGAATGGAAGAAAAATAAATAGGAATAACCGAATAAAAAATTAGAATCAAATGAGAGAAAACGAATAGAGATCGAACAATCGAATTAAATAGAATTGTAATTGTGTTGTACTTGACTTTATTTGTTTAGATCGGACGTCGAACCAATAGTACGTGTACCGAGAAGCCCACTGTGAGTAACAATGTTATAAAGATATGTTCAATCGTATTTATTTTCTGATTGATAAATTATATTGTTTTCTGAAATGATACTTTTTTATCGATTGAATGATAATCCTAATTTCTAAACTGTATTTGTGGCATCCATAGCATATTGTTGTTGTTATTGATACTGTTATTGCTATTGTTACAGAGATCTCTGTCAGTTCCAATTCTTGGAACTATTGTTTATTGTTTGATGGCCATCAATTCATTGTTCGGTCTTTAAGACCAATTAAATTATTGCTATTGGATGTATCACGTATAACGTATATGAATCTGAATGATTGATTGATTGATTGACACAAGATATTGATTGAGAAAATATTCTATTGATAATCGATTGTTTCAAATATTGTAAGGACATCATTCATGACCCCTTTACGCAGTTGTTATTCACTGGGCTCTAGCTCATTATTTATTTTATGTATGTAGGTGATCAAACACCGGATCAGAGTTACGGTGTCGACCCGAAACTTGTTTTTGTCAAGCCAACTATTGTGTCTCACTATGAGGTTCTGAACCATTGCATGTCAGGGCTTATTGGGTGATTCAAAATCACCTTTTTGACATTATGTTTATGTTTATGAGATAAAAATGTTTATTGAGTTTTGTTAACTGTTTTTGGCAATGAGATTTAATTCCCTAGTTTTTGTTTTGTTATGTACACATGTGTGTTATGGACTTAAGTGATTGTGTATATACCTATGTATATGAGAGTTTATTTCCATTCAGGTCCTCACAGCTCATTGGACGATGTATGTTATTATTGATTGGCTTCCAGCCCCTTTATATTGTATTATTGTCATTATTGTTAAACAAGCCTTCGGTAATCACAGATTACTGGCCGATTACAACGCTGAACCTATGGGGGCAGGTTTGGGTCGTGACAATCCCAAGTATAAGCTTTATCTAAAGCCTGCAGTTCATCACTCATAGCTTGCTACCAAACAGGGTTAGACCAAGCCTCTTGATAGGAAGTAGGTTCATGAGGAAAAAAAGCAGTGGAACTAACAATGAAATCACGAAGAAGTACAGAAGGTTATGTTATCCGAGTAGAATGATGAAGAGGTACCTCTGGTGCAGAAAATGATGTAATAGAATCAAGGGATGTATGAGGCTCACTGAGAGCTGGAGCAGGAGCAGGAGCAAGTACAGAAGTCGGCTCAAGATCAAAGAGTAGAGCAGCAAGACCAGGTGACGGAGCAGAATCCTTAGAATGGACTAGAGTCATCATGTCAGAAATAGTGTCTGTATCAAGCTCATCAAATAGAAGAGAGGGATCTGTAAAGAATGGTGTAGTGAGAAGAGTGGACAAATGAAACTTAGATATAGAGGAGAACATTTTGTGTTCCCAAAATACTACATAGCGAAAGACACGAAAACGACGAGAAAGAGGATCCCAACAACGATAATCTTTATGTTCAATCCCATACCCCAAGAAGCAACACAAACGGGTACGAGGTTCTAATTTGGTATGCTCATGTGGTTGAAGAAAAACAAAACAAGCACATCCAAACACACGAATACTAGTACAGGTAAGAAGTGTGTCATACAGACGCTCATATGGGGTTTGATTGTTGATGGTAGGGAGGAAAGGAACACGGTTGATAGTATAGACTGTTGTGAGAGTAGCTTCTCCCTAAAAACGTTCAGGACAAGAAGAAGAGATTAAAAGAGCACAAACAGTGTCGAGGATATGGTGATGTTTGCACTCAGCACGACCATTTTGTTGGGAGGTACCAGGACAAGAATAATGAGAAACTATACCATTTTGACAAAGAAATTTTAAAAAATGAGTTTCTTTGTATCCCTGAGCATTATCAGCATGAAAAAATTTGATGGTGGAGGAAAACTAAGTTTTGACCATGTAAGAAAAATCATAGTATATTTGGTGTAACTCAGAGCGAGATTTCATAAGAAATAACCAGGTAAAACGAGTGAAATCATCGACAAAGATAACAAAATATTTAGATCTCTCCATAGTAGTATTAGGTGAAGGCCCCCAAACATCAGAGTGTATGAGATCAAAAGGTGCATGAGACATAGAGGTACTAGTAGTAAATGGCAAGGCAGACTATTTTACAAGTTGACAAGATAGACAGTCTACTTGATCATTTGGAACATCACCTAACTGACCACTTGAAACGAGAGAGCGTAAACGACCAAAAGACACATGACCTAATCGAGAATGCAATAAAGCAAGATGAGAACTAATAGTAACAAAAGCAGCAATCTCAAAATTAGAAGGACTGGAGGAGAGAATGCGAAGGTGAATGAGCTCGTATAGACGTCCATGTCGACGACCTATCCGAAGGGTTTGTCCCGTCTTCGGATCCTGCACAATACAACCAGTTTGAGAAAATAAAACAGTGAGGTCAAGATCACAGAGTTGACCAATAGAGATGAGATTAAGGGTAAGATTAGGGATCAGATAAGTGTAAGGGAGAGAGACATTAAAGGTAGAAATATGACCGACACGACTAACATGCATTTGAGAACCATCAGCAGTATGAATGTTAGGTAAATTGAAAGCACATATAGTAGAAGAAAACAATGTAGGGTCAGAGGTCATATGGTTGCAACAAACGAAATCAAAATACCAAGAAGAGGTACCGAGAGTAACTAAGAAGACAATAGAGGGTGTACCAGAGGTAGAAATAACCTTTTTGACAATAGCTTTAATGTCCTGAAGAATGTAGGGTGGTAATGGGACAACAATGGATGAGGAACCAGAGGCAACTGTAGTAGATGTAAAATGTGCTTAAGACTAATCTCGACTGTATATTGTGGAGGGTCCAGAATAGCGACCGTGCTGAGGATAACTGTCTAAACGAGCCATGAGGTGTTTAAATAATGAATCACAAAGGAGAACCAGTGATAGCGGAGGAGAACTAGATAAAACAGACAGTGGCCAGAGATAATGTCAGCATGGCGTGGATGACATCAGCAAAAGGCGCAACGCACATTAGCAAAACGGAGGAGCAGCGTAGGATAGCAAAGATGATGCATGGCTCATAGTAGCAGGATGGCACACAGAGGGCGCAGTAAGGACTGACGTCAAGCTGACGTGAACGACAACTGAAAGGCGCGTGAAGGCGTATGCGAGAGTAGCGGCGAAAGACTTGACACGCCGACGATAAAAACGACGCGTGAGGGCGCGTCTGGCGATGTTTGGCGATGGGCCTAGTGGCTTTGGAACCAAGAGAGAATTCCGAGCACGATGATGAAAAATTTGTAAAAGTTTGGTCAACAACGATGACGAACTAGTGTTATTGAACAAATAATGGTGTAATCTGGAACCGTGTGCTCTGTGCTTTGATAATGCCACTGTGTACGGGTAATAAGCAAGAGAAAAGAAAAGCTAGGATTTAAGACCTACGCTCTGATAGCATGTTACGATGGTTGAGAGAAAGTGAGAAAAAGCTGTATATTTTATATGTATATATATATATATATATATATTGAATTGAATACAATAAAAGAGCCTGTGTTTATAGGCTGAATACAAACTTAGATAAGTATAGAAGGAGATAGAGATAGAGATACAAGGAGATAGAGATAGAGAGAGATAGACTATATCTACAATATAAGGAGATAAATATAAATATAAATCTAATATATACATTAACACTCTTGTCATCCAGATCGATTTCGTAGGTCGCAGATTCGAGAGATCTACCCCTAAATCCAAGAGATCCAGCTGTGGAGGAGGCCGTCATCGGAGGTCACGTGAAGGGTCTCACATTGAGGTACAGTCACACAAGAAGAGAGAGAGAGAGAGATAGAGATACAGATATAGATATATGTATACACACTGTATATAGCTTTAGGTCTCTGAATCGATTATGTGTTGTGGAAATGAATTTTGGACTATTTGTTTGAGTTTTTTAGGATTAAGATGAAATATGAACTGATTTGACTATTGTTTACATATGTATATATATTTGTGATAACAGGTTCTTGAGTTTTGCATAAGTTGAGGAAGATAAGTTGATCAACAGAAAAGTTTGTTTTCAATTTAAACATGGAAATTTGAACATATCATATTTTAAACAGATAAAGAGAAGTCTATAGATAGATTTTAAACAGATACAGAGAGAATTTTGAAAAGATAGGGAAAAAAATGAACAGATAAAGGAAAAAAATTCAACAGATAGAAATAAATTTAAACAAATATTTAAAAATTTTGAACAAATAAAAAAAATTGAACGAATAGATATAAATTTAAATAGACAAATATAAATTTGAATACAAAATCAAACAGTTAAAAAAATTCAACAGATAAATTCAGAGGTAAAATTGAAAACAAAATGTCTTCCAAAACCAATAAAAGGATTTTTCATCAAATTATTTCACAAAAGGTGGACACATAAAAAATCTACAAGATCTAATACCTTATACCCTCCTTAAATTAAATTTATCACCAATTTCTTTATATTCTTTCCAAACACATTTTTTTTAAAACTATTCGTCAAACATATTAAACCATAAAATACAATACAAAAACAACACCAAACAAATCCTTAAATAAAGAAATTGATTGCATCTTCCAAAATTTTATCACATGGGAACATAATACATTACCGAAGCTCAACAGCAATGCATACACAATATGTGTGAAGTATTCAAGAACAAACAAGAGCATCATCATTTAATGTCTTCACAGTTTTATTCAAGGATGTTACCCTTCTCAAGGGCAATCCGAAACTGTACATGCCATACTGTTTTATTCAAAACACACAACGATAAGAGCAGAACACGGTGGCAATAGGAGAGAGATTTACAACCATGCCGGATTCTTCAAAGGAGTAACGACAGCCTTCACTTGCAAGTAGTTATGGAGGCTGTAGATACCCTTTTCCCTACCAATACCGCTCATCTTGTACCCACCAAAAGGAATTGCAGCGTCAAACACATCAAAGCAATTCACCCAAACAGTCCCAGCCCTCAGTGCCCGAGACAAGGTGTTAGCAGTATCCACGTTCTTAGTAAAAACTCCGGCTGCTAGACCATATCGTGTTGCATTTGCCCTCCTAATCACATCATGAAGGTCCCTGGAATAGAAGATGACATATGAGAAATGTTTTTGAAATTGCACTAAAACAATAACTTTTTTCTTTCCAATGATATTGTAATAAGTTTCACAAGTTGTGCACTTTTTTTTCTTTTTTTTGGCTTTGAAGTTGTTTTGTAGATTCTTAGCACTCATATATAAGTAGATGAGATGATCGACTTCCGCGAGTTCTAGTTCGGTCATACAGCATTCCTGCGCACTTCACCGGCCTTCTCCAGCCTCCTATCTCATACCCAATCCAAGAGAGCATCCTAGTGGGCCTGTTTGTTGGCGGTGAAGCAAGCAAATGTCTCATTTTGTTCATTGCGAGGTTAAGAAAGGGAGCCAATCCGCGGAGTAATTAGTCCCTATGAATTGGATATTTAATTTAGGTAATGCCAAGGTTGATTCACCGAATGGAAGGAAAAGGGTGCTAAAAGCCCCCGGTAAGGAGTTGCTGGCAGCTACGGCTGAAGCTGCTAAAGCAACGAAGCTAGCTGTCTACTAAGACAACTCCTCTGCCTTAATCCCCTCTTTTCTCCCCTAACAATCCATAGGGAAGCAAGCCAAGGGTTTGGATTTTAGAAGAGTCAGTGAAGGCAGCTTCTTCTAGATCCAGTCATGAAGCATACAATTGATCTGGAATTGGGCCAATTCGATTGATAGGTAGTCGCCTTTTCAGGTAATGGGCTAGAGGAAGCAAATTCCTCTGTCCACACGTGGACTGGACCGATTGAAAAGATTGGAAGGCTAGGTAAGGAAAACAGGTGTACTCTAAGAAGAACCCCCAGAGGTGAATTAGAGACATTGAGTGCCATTAATACCCAATCAGCCCTTCCCTTAGCGATTTTCCTCAGTTGCAAAGAAGTGAAGCTACGTTCTACAGGTAAGATCTATCTCTTCTCCTGCCTTACTCTAACCTTGAAGGAAAAGGAAGGAGAAACTACAGGAAACTCTTAGACGCAAGGCTGCCTCACTCATATCACTGTACTAAAGGCAATCACAAACAAGAAGAGGTGCGTCCTTAGTACACTCCAAGTACAGGAAGGGCACTTTAGCTACATATTACTCCCAAAGGAAAGAAGAAAGATTCAATCTAATCTATTCTCTTCTTTCCTAGCTTCCCCAACCAGCTAGCTACTAGGAAAGAAGAGAGCTACTAGCAAGAGAGGGATAGATAGAAGGGCTTATAAGGCATTCCAAGGGATATAAACCTGCAAGAGCAAACTCCTAACCTCTTAGAAAAGATCCAATAGATAGCAGCTACCTAAGGCGCTTTTAAGCCCTTCACCAATCACGGTCTTTCATCGTAAGTCCTAGTACTATGTTATCCAAGCTTGACTAATAGAACAGGCAGGCCTTTTAGAGAGCAGTAGAATTTAGGGTTAGCTCTGCCTTTAAGTGATAGGGGGGTGAGGGGAACTGCACAGAAATGTAAGCTAATTATAGGATTTTGATTAGTGAACTCGACTTTGGTTATTATTACAAAATTCTTATCCTCAAAAAGGGAGTTTCGACACACTTCCCCTTTTTTGGACGCGTTAATACAATTGTTAGACTCTATTTTTATGCAATGTCCAGATTCTTGACAAAGCAAGTGATGGGGAACGAGAAGGAATCAGATGAGATTAGGGATTTAATTTCATGCCATTTTCTTATTTATAATTTAATAGATTTTATTTTATTTTTATTAGGCTTCAATAATGGTAGTATTTATTTTTTGTCTTTTAATAGGTTTATTCAGACTGAGTTTTCAGTACTGAATTGAGTGAGTTTTCAATATTGAGATCAAAGAATTTAGGGTTTGTTCTATTTTCTTTTGATGTGCCCTTTCTTTGTTATTTATTTGTTTACAATTATTTTCTTTTGCCAGCCGTCCAATATTAGCAAGGGAAAAGGGAAAAAAATTGGAGATTCAATAACTAGTTATGCCAGAAGTCATGCAACTCACTTGAATTTCAAGATGGACTGCACTGGACCAAAGATTTCATCTTGTGCTATCAACATGTCATCCTAATTGATAAAAAAAAGTCCCGATATGTTACTTTCAAACATATATATAACATAGTTACCAACAAGAAATGAAAATTCACACATTTTTAACTAGAGAAAGTCAGAAGTCAGAACAGAAAATACCTGAACGTTGGAGAAAACAGTGGGCTGAATATAGAAGCCTTTGGAGCCTAGTCTTCCACCGCCACATTCAAGGGTTGCATTGCTTTCAATGCCAGATCTTATGTAACCGAGAACCTTCTGGAATTGCTTTGCGTCGATCTGAGATTTAAATAAGGTTCACAAACATCACTGACAGCCATAAGGACTTCAATAAAACTTTTAGTACATGAGAATAAAATGAAGAAGAATATAGTTGGACATCAGTTTTTTAAAATGCGTCACATTCATAACAAATTAGGACTGCAAATGCATATCTCACAAAAAACAATAGTGAACATGTATTTGAAATATATATTTCATTTCTTTTCTTCTTACTCATATGACTTTCTCGTCAGGCAGCGCAATTGAAATTTGAATTAAAAATGGAGTTCACACGTAACATGGAAATTTGCAGGGTTATTTCCAGTGTTAAGGACAGAAAAAAGACAAAAATAAAAGAAAATTGCTGGGATGAGTGACATTTGTTTGAGCAGAAAACATGTTCTAAAAAATGTTTCCTGCATTTTTTTGTATTTGGTATGACAAATAACAAAAGTCAACAGAAAAGGTTGTCAGTGATAAACAGAAAAAATCTCATTTGGGAGCAAAATGTTTTTCACTAATGAAATACGAAAGTTGCTGCCCTATCACCACCACACCACCATCAAGACACAAACACAGACACTACAACAAATACAACCACTAGTACATTAGTTTCAAGATTACAACCAAACATGGGAAAACATTTTCTTCTAAAACAAACGGAGTGTGAGTTTTTGCCAATCAAGACATGGTAATGCCCCAAAGAGAGTGAGGGAAGAGACAGGTGAATACCTGAGGACCTTGTTCAACACCCTTCTTAAATGGATCACCGACTACACGTCTCAAAGCACGCGCCTTTGATTTCTCCAAGAACTCATCATAGACGCGTTCATGCACAAATGTACGAGAACCCGCACAGCAACATTGTCCCTGTAAAATAGATAAGCATTTGAAATCCATGCTTTAATTTCCTTCCAGAAGACCAACTTTGAGGTCAAATTATTGATCAAACCTGATTAAAGAACAGAGCAAAGTGTGCAAGCTCCACTGCCTTATCAACATCAGCGTCCTCGCATACAATGAAAGGAGATTTCCCTCCAAGCTCTAACGTCACTGACTTAAGATTGCTTCTTGCAGCTAATTCGAGTACAATCTTGCCCGTCGCAGTTGATCCTGTGAAAGCAAGCTGCAAAGGGCAACAAAAAGGCCAAACCAAAGAATGCATTGACATCAAAATTGTGTCGAGGAAAAGACTTAATTTCTTCGGAATGTGAAACATCCATCATTAAATTTAGATAATATGAAACATCATAGATGCGTACCCTTGTGTCTATCTTCACATTCTAAAGAAATTAGGAAGATAAGTGTTCTTAGATACCTTGTCCACATCCATGTGACTAGCAAGAGGAGCACCAGCGGTTGGACCATAGCCAGAAACTATATTTAGAACACCTGGTGGAAGGCCAGCCTGACACAAAGATCGCGCAATGAGAGAGAGAGAGAGATGTAACATCGAAATGGTTCTCAAATTTAAAAATACACCCAGACAAAATTAAATAAATAAATAAAAATCATTCTTGTATCTTATTACAGTGCCTCATTCATCAATTAGAGATTTTTCACCCTATAAAAATTGTATGAAAATTTTAATTCAGTGCAATTCACTATCATGGCCCATAAGTTTTTGACATAAGTAGGCTATATGATTTTATTGTTCTCTGGAATTCTATGATTATTAACTCAATATGGAATGTCTGCACAATCCCAGTCAAAATCCCAGTTTAAATAACAAACACAACCTCTACAAGCTACTTACAAGATCCCACAGTACCCAAAAGACAGTTATCAAAGTTCATAAACAAGAAACACATAAAAACCATATTTTTTGCAGTGTTGAAATTTACGTTGAACAAATCCAAATGCAAAAAAGGAGGAAGACCGATAGCAAGAAATTAATCAGAAAACTATCATGACCTACCTCATGCAATAGCTTTGCTACATAAAGAGCAGTTAACGGCGTTTGCTCTGCGGTCTTTAGGACAATAGTATTACCACATGCAAGTGCAGGCCCAACTTTCCAAGCAAACATGACAAGCGGGAAGTTCCATGGAATAATCTGCCCTGCAACGCCAATTGGTTCGTGCAACGTCTGCACGTGGTATTGTCCATCGGCTGGGACTGTTAGACCATGAATTTTATCTGCCCAACCTGCAGTAGTGAAGGTCCGATTTTAGAAAACTCGAGAAAATGCATAACATAGACCACAGCTTTTTGTTCATTTTAGTGCTCTTACCAGCATAATAGTGAAATAAACGAACGAACAATGGTAATTCAGATTTAGCAGCCTGTTCATAGGGCTTCCCATTGTTCCATGTCTCAAGAGCTGCAATCTCATCACTGTGCTTCTCAACCAAGTCAGCAAAACGCAGCAGTATCCGTGACCTCTCCTGAAACCCAAATTGACAAAAAAGGCATTCGTACAAACCTATGAAGCCTAGACACCTCTTTGTTGGTCATGTACAGGAATCTAACACATGTCGGGCATAGACACGCTCAGCACACATTGGAGGGAGTCGGACACGCTTGGGACACTTGGAATAGCATACCAAGATTGATGAATTTGATGAGAATAAATATTTGACATAGAATAAAAATATAATATTTAAAAATATGACATATAATAAATATATAAAATTATATGTTTGACAGGTGTCCCTAGCGTAACGTGTCTTGCATTTTTCTAAATTTGTGTCCTAAGAAGTACAGACACTTCTACGAAGGTGACGTATCCGTGTCGTGTCCGTATCAGACATCGACACTCTTTAGATACTTTCCCGACACGTGTCCAACACTCTTCAAAGCATGTCTTATTTTTTAATATTTTTTAAAGACCTGGACACTCTTTGGACACTTTAAGAACACACGTGTATATCTCTTAAATACAAATGTCTATCGACTACACACATGTGAAACTAATTATAAATTTGAATAAAATAACTTAAGATACAATAATAAAATAAAAACCATATAAATTTATAGAGATTAGTGTCATATTATATTTTTTTTTATTATCTTTGAATGATATATTCATAAATATCCAATATATAATAAATATATAAAATTATATATTTTATATGTGTCCCTTGCGTATCGTGTCCTGCAGTTTTTGAAAATTAGTGTCGGCATGTCCATGCCATGTTGCTTGTCCGTGTCCGTACTTCCACTACAAAAAAAAGTCACTTTTAGCTACTAAAATGTTGGTTGCCAATTTTCTGTTTTTGATCGCCAAAGCCATTCTGCGACAAAAAATTTTGGTCGCTACATTTGTCGCCAAAAACCTATCGGGGAAGGTTTTGCCGACTAAAAAGCCTTTGGTCGGCAAAAAGCTACTCTTTAGCGACCAAAATTTTGGTTGCCAATAGTCAATTATATTTCTTTAAAATCATACATTCACCGACCAATGTTTTAGTCGCCAATAGTCAAGGAATCGCCAACCAAAATCTTTAGTCGCCAAAAGCTACCAAACGGCGACCAACATTTTTAGTTGCCAAAAGCTTCATCCGTGAAAAAAAATAATTCATTGTTAAGCTTTGCATCTGCTCTTATAAAGACTCGAACCACTGACCTCCCACGGCATAAGCCTTATGCACCACACACTTCCTACTACGCCAGCGTAACACCACATGATTACAAATGTAATATATATTATTTATACATATGTAATATACATAATTATTTTTATTGACATAATTTATGTGAAAATAAATTAATTTAGTAGCAAAATAAAAATAAAAATTTAACTTTTAGTGACCAAAATAATTTTGGTCGGCAAAGAGACTTTCCTGCTAAAAAAGACCACTTTTCGCTACTAAATTTGTTTTTAGTAGCCAATTGTACACTTTTTGGCTACTAAATTTCTTTTAGTAGCCAAAAAACTTACTTTTGGCTACTAAAAAATATTTTAGTCGGTAAAACCCACATAATTGGCGACCAAACTTAGAATTAATCGCCAATTGTAGACTTTTTGGCTACTAAATTTTTTTTAGTCGGCAAAACTATACTTTTGGCTACTAAAAATGTTTTAGTCGGTAAAACCCACATAATTGGCAACCAAAATTATAATTAGTCAGCAATTGTTGACTTTTTGGCTACTAAATTTTTTTTAGTCGGCGAAAACTATACTTTTGGCTACTAAAAATGTTTTGGTCGGTAAAACCCGTATAATTGGCGACCAAACGTATTTTTAGTCACCAATTGCGGACTTTTGGCTACTAAATTTGTTTAGTCGCCAAAAAGCTTCACAATTGGCTACTAATTCTTTTTTAGTCGCTGAAAGCTATACTTTCAGCGACCAAATTCTTTTTTGTCGGGAAATTTGGTCGCCGAATGTGTTTTTTCTTGTAGTGTTCTTAAGTGTGTTTATGTCGTGTCCATGTCCGTGTGTCTTAGATTCAAAGTAACTACAAAATTAAACTTGACTCATAGACAATATAAGGAGGGGGGAAATAAAAATTTTCTCACATAAGCAGTCATTCTCGGCCATGGTCCCTCGTCAAATGCCTTACGAGCAGCAGCTACAGCATGGTTTATATCTTCTGTTTCACCCTCAGCAACATGGGCAATTACTTCTCCTGTCCGAGGGTCCAAGGTTGGAAATGTTTTTCCTAAAACAAATACAACTTCTGACATCAATTCAATTGTATTCATAAATGATATACATGCATGGAACATTAAAAATCATATGGTAAATAATCCAATTTGAAAATTATAGCTTAAAATATCAGCAAAGAATTAACCAGATGCTGAATCCACAAATTGGCCATTGATTAGAAGCTGAGTATAATTTATTTGAACAGGTGGGGTGATCGGTTCCTCTATCACCGCAGCAGTACTAAACGTCTGTGTGACTCTTCCGAAGCCAGAGTTTCTGCCTGAAAATTTTATCTTATTATGAACATCAATTGTTGTTGTACTACATTTAATAAAGAAACAACTAGGGAATATAAGATTGTAATAATTTTTGCATATTATAGAGAATAATTGCTAGAATAAATACAAAAATATCTTTTCAATTATTCTTATTTGTTATCGAAGAATAAAATATTGACATTGAAGTATTAAAATAATTTTTTCACTTTATCAAATAAATCTATCCACTAAAAGTAAATAAACTGATTATTAGCTCTTAAACTAATGACTGATTCCTAAAATATGATTTTTCACTATTTTTTGAGCTTATGCATAACATAATATTAAAAATTATAATTAAAAAAATTAATATATCCAATCTGTACCACTATTCTATCATTTCAATTTTTATCACATAGCCATATCCCTATAGTATCTATATCTGTATTCTTACCCATGTTTACGTAAAGAGAAAATTAGTGAGACATCAGCTACAACTTTGTGTAGTAGGAGAGAGATTCAAAATATTTTTTAATTAGCTAATGTCCCTCAACATTTTCACAAAAAAAAATTGGATTCAGAAAAATTTTGAGACCCGACTGGGAGAAATTTCTTAATAGCTGGATCTTCAAAAAAAAAATTCCCCTTACATAAATGTGAATATACATATATGTATCGACACATCAAAAAATTTCAATCAGGTGAATTGGAATCACTTGATTCAATTTCTCAATCCCACAAACCCATTTTTAATTAAAATTCAATATATTTATTTATTATAATAATTTCCTTTTTTGGGTTTCATAAAAAATAAATAAATAAATGAAAAGAAGTCACACAAAAACTGTTTGAAAGAATTACTAAGCCCGGTATGGTTTTGCTCGTGGCCTAAAAAATCACAAAAAGATTAAAAAAATAATAATAATAATAATAATTTTTAAAAAATTAAAAAAAAATTGAAAAACAATTTAAAAAGTCAAAAATCACAGAAAGATGAAAAAAAATTTGTCATTCTTAAGTCAAAAAATCAAAAAAATCAAATAAGAAAACTAAACTAAACAAAAAAAATTCAGGTTAAAAATTAACTAAAAAAATCATTGTCAAACGATCCTAAAAAAACAAAATTCAGAAAGTCACAGACGAAATCTGCAGATCACAAGATAAGATAATAAGATAAACAATTCAGACACAGATATACATGACCCATTAAAATCGATAGTCTAAGTGTGGATTGTGTATGTACAGCGAGCTAGAGAGAGAGAAAAAAAAAAACAGCTCCGAAGATTCAGGGATACAAGCATGCCTGTACACAAACATTTGGGTTTCTACATATGTGTGTGTGTGTATGAGGAGAGAGACAGAGACCTGGAGAGAGAAAGGAAGAAAGAGAAGGGGGACGAAGAGAGAGATAGCGAGAGAGCAAAAAGGAGATTCTGCGAGCTGCTGCTGCTGCCATGGATGTTGGTTTATCTATCTATGGATCTATCTATGGTGAATGTGTGATTGCCCACTTTCAGCAAAAAGCTTTTGCTCACACGTACGGATACGGATAACTCTCCCGCTTTGGGAGGACTATGCAGGTCGTACTAAAGGAAGAAAATTACTTATATATATATATATAGATTTTTTTTTTTTTTTTAAGATCCAAGCAATGGATATGCAAATAGGCTACCCAACATATCAGTGTTGCCACTTACAGCATATACGCATGGAATTTCACTGCAGCTATGTTGGGGCCGAAACTTAGGAACCGCATACTCTAGGTGATAAGAAGAATGTTTAAATCCAACAAGGGGCTATAGAGACTTGAATCCAAACCTTGAGCGAGAAATTCGAAGGTCTTATCTATTGAACCAACCCCTATTGGTGTGTATATATATATATATAGATTGATACAGAACTAAAACTTCATTAGAGAGAGAGTACATATATATATATATATATAAAATATAAATAATATATTTAAAAAAATTTAAATATCATAAAAGCAATTTCTAATATGATGAATAAATTTTTTTGATATAAAATAAAAAGAAAATTCAAGATGGAAGAAGAATTGCATATATATTTTTTAGGAAAATGTTCGAGACCTCCTTTTGGGGAGACCCCCACCACCCCAAAGTAATGTAGACCAATACTGTTTGTATTTTTTTTTTTCTTTCTCTTTCTTACTTGGACCAATCACAAGTGAATGGAAGTTGTGAGAGTGATATTTTGTGAGAGTCTGAATCATTACTGTATTTTTTATACTATGGGTCATTTTATATATAAAATAACACACACACACATATATATATATATATTTAAAGTTTTCTGACAAATAATTATGTTCACATAAACAGGGAGCCATGACACCCCATTGTCTTTTCTTAATTCCGTCTCTAGATATAGATATAGGGGTGTAAGTGTGTTTGTAATGACGTACAAATAAAAAGTTATGAAGGGGTCGTTTGACAATGACTTTTTTGGTTGGCTCTTTGAATTTTTTAACCTTTTTTAACCTGAGATTTTTTTGTTTGTTTGATTTTTTGTTTGACTTTTTTAATTTTTTGACTTTGAAATGACAATTTTTTTTTCTCCTTTTATGATTTTTATCCTTTTATAATTTTTTGACTTTTTTTAGTCCTTTCATGATTTTTTTAGCCCCAAAAAGGAAACTAAAGGAGCACCAAGTGTAAGTATCACTCTCATCTATACATTTTCCCTTGTAATATAAGTAGATTATATATATATTATAAGATTTACTTAAAGGAAAATTTATTTATAAATCTTATTAGGGAAACTTTTGCTACATATGGTCTCACAAAAAAATTTATATTTCCATAAGTCCTGTGTGAAGTTTGTTGACACATTTGACACCTACATAAACGTAACGTGACATGACACCTACATAAACGTAACGTAACGTGTCACGTTACGTTTCGCAAACTTGCTCGGTTTTTGATTTTTTTAATTGAATGTGAAAATGTTACTTTCTATAGTAACATTTAATTTCCTATATAGCAAATTGAATGTTATCACGTTTCGCAAACTTACTAGGAAATTGAATGTTACCATAGATTAAGTTTGCGAAACGTAACGTGACACCTACATAAACGTAACGTGACGTGACACCTACATAAACGTAACGTAACGTGTCACCTACATAAACGTAACGTAACGTGTCATGTTACATTTCGCAAACTTACTAGGTTTTCGTTTTTTTTAATTGAATGTGAAAATGTTACTTTCTATGGTAACATTCAATTTCCTATATATGGTCAACTCATAAGATTTTATGGAATACATTCCTATCTAAATAGGACTTGAGACTCTATAAGAAATTATACAGGACTTAACCTAACATAAGTGTCTGAAAAATGACTTATAAATAAGTCTCTCTTACTTAAAATATGAATATTATAGTTTTGAAAATTATATTTCGTTCTTTTAAAGTTTTTTAATTTTATAATAAATTATTTATTTTATTAATAAATTAATTAACAGTTTGAATAATATTAAAAATGTATTTCAGTTAATAATTCAGATAATTATATTATTGTATAAAAAATAATTAAAAAATTTATTTTTTCAGTTAATTTTGTTAAATAAATTTTTTTAACAAAAGGATATTTGTAATTTTTTTACCCTTGTATATATGATCGTAGGTGTTTGGGATTATTTTTTGAGTGACTTTTTTTGTTAGTTTATTTTTATTTTAGTGAATTTTTTTAAAAACTTTTTAAGAAGTTGTAGATTTTCAGATTTTATTCATGAACCAAATTAAGATCTTTAAAAAAAAATTAGATAAAGACAAAAATAAGTAAAACAAAATGACTTTTTTGGGTTGTTTGGGTTATTTTATTTTATTTTTAGAATTGTTCAACAACAAAAAAAAAAAAGATTTATCTACACAAGACAACCCAAAAAAATTTAAAAAAAATTAGACATAATTTTGAAAAAAAATTACTAAAGAAAAATTGAAAATTTATCTAAAAGTTCCATCTCAGTATCTTTCATACTCATAAATCCTTTTTTTTTTTTTCCCCTTATGATCACACAAGTCTTATTGTTTTCAAAAGGTTTTCCATAAGATCCTTTTGAATTTATTTTATACCATGTTAACACTTTTTTACCATTTCTCAAATGTCATACTGTAATGTGACAGGTATAATATGACATTGGGAAAAAAAATTCTCAGTGTATTTTCTTTTCAAATGTAACACTTTAATATAGCTAGTATAATGTGACATTTGGTACATCTAGAAGGTTTGCTAAAAAGCTCGCCTTGTTTGGGAAGACCCGGTTTGGCCAAAAAGTTAAAAAGTTATCAAAAAATTCAAAAAGCCAACAACTCATACCAAAAAGTCAAAGATTCTCTTTTCTCTATACTTTTTGCACATCTTTTCGTAAAAAGTCAAAAAATCATCCCAAACATACTAGTTTTTGTTAGCTCATATTTTAGCCAAATAGTCAAAAAATTACTAAATTAGCATGTTCCCAAACGGGACCTAGTATATTTTTTTTAAAATGTAACACTTCAACAAACAAAAACTCATATGGATCACAAATCCAAGATATGTGATTTATTGGTCAATTTTCCGTTCCCAAATAAAGAACTTAAAATCTATTTGTGCAAAAAATTAAAGGATAAATTACATTTACCTTTCTTGAGATTTTTAACAAATACAGGGACCTCCCCTGTAATTTGAATAATTACAATAACCTCTCTTACTTTACGTGACAATGTCAAGATTCTCTCTTCTGTTGACTTTCGTTTACTTGTTTCATAGAAAAAGCTAATGTCATCAAAGCCAAACACTACAATATCCATAATACCCTCAAGTGTCCTCGACTATCTATGTTCGGAACTGTGTATTTTCTAAGAAAATTGTGGGTAGTTTCTTTGACTTCATTTTGTGACTACTAATTCCATTACCATCTCTCTCTCTCTCTCTCTTTCTCTTAAATCTTCAAAAATGTCTCCTAAATTGCCCTTTCTCTCCTCCCTTTCCACCTCCAATCCCTAACACTCACCCTCTGAAACCCTCACATCACCCATTCGACTAAATTTCCCAACCAAAAACCCTCAAATGGACAGAAGCATTCTCGAATCCAACGGATTCGAAATCATCGAAGTCATGGCCCCCGTCTCAATCTACATGCTCTTAGTCGTCCTCCTAGTCTACTCCCTCTCTTCCTCCTTCTCCTCCTCCTCCGCCGCCGCACCCATCCGCACCGCTGCCAATTTGGTCTACTTCGAAACCCCCTCCGACTCTACCACCCAGAAACTCAAAGGTGCTCTCCTCAACGCCCTCGTCTTCGTCATCATCATCTCCATCCTCACTTTCCTAATCGTCCTCCTCTATTGCTACAAGTTCACCAATTTCCTTAAGAACCATACTCGTTTCTCTGCCTTCTTCGTCCTTGCCACAATGGGCTACTCAATCTTCCTCTTCATCATCCAACATTTCTCAATCCTAATCGATTTCATCACATGTTTCGTCTTACTTTTCAATTTCACTGTTGTGGGTGTTCTCTCTGTGTTCTCTCGTGCTGTACCCATTTTCTTGAAACAAGGGTTTATGGTTGCTTTGGAGATTATTGTGGCAACTTGGTTTACCAATTTGCCTGAATGGACCACTTGGGTTTTGTTAATTGCACTTGCTTTGTAAGATTTGGTTGCAGTTTTGGCTCCTGGAGGGCTTTTGAAGATCTTGGTCAAATTGGCTTTGAGCCAGGACGGGAAGCTTCCAGCATTGGTGTACGAGGCTCGGCCAACTGTGGTTGGTGGGTTTTCCGATTCTAGTTTGGTGGAGCTTTAAGTGGTGCCTAGGAACAATGAGAGTGATTTAGATAATTCAGATTACACTGCTGTTGCAATTCGAAAGCAGAGTGAAGTTAGGATTGGGGTATGAGATGAGATGACAGAGAAGAAAAAATTAAAATTAAAAACAAAGTTAAATACTATAATCAAAGGTTATTTTTGTCTTTTCATGCTCAAATAAAAGGGTAATATGGTCATTTTGTATACAAAAGTAACATCGTTTATGTATAATTGGAGAGCCTCTATTTGCACACACCACTTCCCCTCTCTTCACACACTTAATGACATTTTTTTTATTACATTTTTATCCTAAAATAAAATTACCAAAACATCCCTTTCTTCTCCAACCAAAACCCCTTTCTTCTTCAACCAAAACCCTAACCCTAACCCTAACCCTAATACCCAATACAGAGCCTCCCCTCCGATCATCTCCTTCCTCCCTCCGTCGCCTCCCTCTGTCGCCTCCTTCCAGCCTCCCTCTTCTCGAATCGAAGCCCCACGCCACCCCATCGTTCGTCGCTCACTCACCCTCCCCACCACCCCCGTAACCCCTCACTTCGGAACACAACACCGTCGCCGCCGCAGCTCCCACCCCTTTGCGACTCTCAGTTCTGCACACCCACAGAGAGAGAGAGGAGAACCTAAATCTGGTTCGACTATTAACCTCCGAAACCCCATTTTCGCGACTGAAAAAGAGAGAGAGAGAGAGAGAGGGGATGAGGTGGGGGTCGCGGTAGTGTCGCCGGTGGTGGAGTAAGGGGTGGGGATGGCGACGAGAAGTGAAAGGGAACGGTGGTGCTGCATCGCCGCCGGCGATCGCCGGCGAGGTGGTCGTTGGTGTGTGGATTGGGAGGGTTGGAAAGTTGTGTGTATGAGGATATAATTGGAATAAAAATGTGTGTAATAAGTAAATTTTATTTATTTATTTTTTTAAGGTGTGTGAACTGAGAAGGATGTGTAAAAAGTAGAATTGGTGTGTTCAAATAGAAACTCCCGTATAATTGACGAATTAGGGGAATCTGTACAATGTCAGGTAAAGTATGGGTGATTACTGTAATTATTGAAACTACAGGAGAGGTCCCTATATTTGTCAGAAACCTCAAGAGAGGTGAGTGTAATTTACCCAAAATTAAAATATGTAATGGAGATGTGGAGAATTTATTTGGATCATATATTGATTTTTTAAATAATTCTTTTGGGTAAAATTTTTATATTTGTTCTATGTATTATTAAATTTTATTTTTAAGATTTGATTGGCGATTGGCTGGAAACACTTTGATGACCAAAGTCATTTTTAAGAGAGAGAGAGAAAGTGTCCGTATCTTTTCTTCCAAAGATGGAGCTTTAAGTTTTCATGTGAGCAATTTGGTTGATCTGGACTTATCATATTAATTCAACTAGATTGGTTTGGGGGGAGGTTTATGTAATTTTCACCTCTTTCAATTATTGTGAAAAGCCATCATATAATTTGTGAGAAACATATTGGAGTTTGGTGAATTCACATCAAAAATAGGTTGGCGTAGCTTCCTTGGTTTGATAAAGATAACTACTACTCACCTCTAGACATGTGATGGGTTAGGTGTGAGATCAATTCACCCTCTTTTTTTTAAATTTTTTTTATCTTTAATAATAATAAAAATTTGATTGTGTCAAATTTTTTTTGGGCCCATCTAACGTAGAAGGATTTAAAAAGTAAATTTAAGAAGGAAAAAAAAAAGAAAAAAAAAAAGCCCAATTGACTTCTTTTTTCCATTGTTTTAGAACAAATTACAACTCAATGTAATTTTTTGAAAATAATTTTAAATCAGTGATAAATTTTATAAAAATTAATAATTATATTTATAAACTTTTTGGTATGTAATATTTTGTGAAAAAATCACCAGATTGTAAATTCTCAATTTTTTATTTTTATTTTTATTTTTGACGTCTGTGACCCATAATGGGATGGAAACACATGAAGAAAACCCTACTTCACTCCAATCCAAGGAATAGACTTCCATTTCATTATAGAATTGTTCCAGCAAATATACCAAGTCAGCTATGAAGAAAATCCATTTCTTTTGAACAAACCCAAATTTTAATTTTTATTGTGGCTAGCAATTCAACAAGTGTGGATATTAGGGGTGAGCAATGGATATATCGATCCGCTTAAACAAATCGAACCGATCGATCCGCCGCATTTTAGACGGATGCATGATGACGATTGGACGGTTGTGGATTGATTTTTTCTAATTCGCCTAGTTTTAGACAGATGACGGATTTGAGATTCATTTGGCTGCAACCGAACCGCCAAACCATGAGCACCTCTAATAATTGTAAAACTTTATGTTTTAATTTATTTAGATATTCTGTTTATGTTTTCAATTGAAAAAAGAGTTTAAATATTCTATTGAAAAAGAGTTTTCAATTTGAATATATTTTTTGAATTGAAAGAAATAAATATATTATTTATCTATATTTGTTAGTTTTTAAATCTAACTCTAAAAATAATAAATAAAAAAGATGATATATGCTGGTTGGTTTTTGTTTTCGAAAAACAATATAGATGTAACAATACAGAAGTATACAATTTCTACTATTGCTCTGTTCATGGTTTTGGTAATTTGAATTATCTTTATATTTTAAGAATCACATATTATAATACTTTATGTGGATGAAGCATGTTGTGATTGTAATATGTGGATGAGGCATACAGTGATTGTAATACATTTTTAAGTCATTGACTGTAGTACTTTCTTCTTTTTTCTTTTTGAAGAAGTGCACAAGTTGAATTATATTAAAAATTTATAAAATTTTAAACCGCCAAACCGATTCGCATTCATCTGCCAATCCGCTCAATCTACATCCGCTAGATTATCGGATGGATGCAGATTGATTTTCTCTAATCCGCTAATCTGATGGAAAGATGACGAATTGAAGATTTAGTAACCACAACTGACCCACAACACCCCTACTAGATGCAATCATGATATGGTTGATCCCTAAATATTAGCCTAAGAGCAACCTCATCAAACTTGGTAGATAGCTTCTCTAGCTAAACTGGCAAGATGAACTACAAAAAACTAGGCGCATCAACCTTGCTACAAGTGCGCCAAAATTTGAGGATATTGCAGTAGCTCGTCACAACAAACGAGCTACTGTTCATCGTTATTCTTTTTTTTTTTTCCCGCCAAACTCTACCCTCTTCCTCTTCTGCGCCAAAACTACATAGCGGCAACCACTCCACAACATTTGCTTTCACCATATCTGAAACTCAGGTTCTCTCTCTCTCTCCCTCTCTCTCTCTCTCTCTCTCTCTCTCTCTCTTTGTGTTGTACTCTAGATTTGGATTAGATTGGATGAATTAGGGTTTGTAATTTTATTTGAGAACCATCAATGGCTCTTTGATTGAATTAAGTTGTTTGAACATCTTTGAAAATTTGCATGCACAAAATTCTTGTATCACAACTGTTTGATAAATTGCCTCAATGATAGTGAATGCATATATATGTTGATATTTTAAAGCTTAGATTACTTGTATATTTTTAAAATCTTTAAAATTAGGTAAAGAAATTTTTTATCATACTGAGAAAGAACATATATAGTTGGTGAGCTTTATGGTTTTTTTTTATACACATTGTATACAACTATGATATAATTTTAAAATTTTTGTTGAGTAATTAGTGCATAAAATTAATTTGCCCCATTGCCTACCACTATTTAGTTAAAAGTGATCAAATGTGAAATGTATTGTTGATTTTTCATGTCATTGAATCTAACTCTCAGAGAGAGGATAGATAAAGGTGAATTACTATGAGAACAAGTAGAAAAAAATAAAGGGGAAGTGTGTTCAAGTTAGACAACAAATTAAGCCAAAACCAAATGTTTAGCCCTTTATGTTTGTTACCTTCTATATATCTAATTAAGGCATTGAAATTTTTCTGTTGTCTGAAATCTGAGGCATATAAAGCTAATGTTCTTGATGTGCATAGACAAATGAAATTAAGAGAAAGATAAAATCCTCTCGTGTAAAAGGGGCAAGAAATGGTCATCCCCAGCTTTTTTTTAGTTATAATTAAGTCATCCTACCTCTGCTTATTGTTTAATCTTTAACTCCACTTTTTGGTCTCTATTTTGTTTAAGTGGAATAGAAAGGAAGTAGTGCTTTAAGATTTTAATCTTTCTCAACATACCATTTTAAAGTATAACAATATGGATAAGGTTTAGAAGGTGTGAAGTGTAGTGAATTTGCTAGTTTTCTAATGGATGCTTTGCTGTTATGATGTGGAGTATCACTGATTTCCTGCACAATCTAGAGGGCATTTTCTGGCTTGCTGGGAGTTGGCTGTGTTGGTGCCTTACCAACACTTCTTTTCCAACCTTGTTTGCAGTTTTTGCTAGCATTTGATTGGGTAGTTGCTTCACTCTGATGGGATGTTAGCTTAACTACCTATGATGCTTCCTTATATTAAGCTTTTGTTATGTAATTTTGTCTACATAATAAAATCTTCCTTTTGCCTTTCAAAAAAGAAAAAAATTCAAATTTTAGTAAACAATTATCAAAACGCTCCTTCAAGCTCAACCCCTTATTCAAACTTATATCAACTTGAGTTTTACTCAAAGGGAGACTCAAATTCTTCACTCAAATTCATATCAAATTTAATTTTTGTAACAAAAAGAGGTTGTTAACTCCTCTTATTTAATCCAACGAAAACTTAAAACATGTGCTCTTTTCCCCAAATTTGAGTTAAGGGTTGGAGGTGGTCTTAATAGGCTTCATTGAATTGATTTTATTTTATACGAAAGTGCTAACTTACTGTCTTGTTGGGATGGATTCAATCTGAAAATTTTCACTCTATCTTGAACGATGGATTCATTCTGATTTAATTCACTCTATCTTGTAGGATGGATTCAAGTAGAGACCCCTTCTTTACCAATCTTTTACAAGAGGGCTCCAACCTTGACAACCAATTCATGAAGTCTCAATATCTAAACCAAGTTAGTCAAGGTGCTGGTCAAGAATCTCAGTTTTCAACCAAAAAAGAATCTGCTACGAAAAAGTCACGCAATGGCAACTTTTCTAAAGAAGAAGACAATTTGCTTATATCAGCTTGGCTCAATACTAGCTTGGATGCAGTGCATGGAAATGAGCAAAAAAGTAAGACATTTTGGAGGAGAGTTGGGGAGTACTTCCACGAGCACAAAACATTTATTAGTGAACGTACTGATAATTCTTTGATGAACCGGTGGTCAATCATTCAACTTGGAACCAATAAGTTTTGTGGGTACTTTGCTCAAATTGAATCAATGCGTAAAAGCGGTGTGAATGAGCAAGACAAGGTATCAATTACATAGATATTTAAACATTTACCATTCAATATATTTTAAAATTTTGATATATATATATATATATATATTTTCCAGATTGGCAAGGCAAAACTTTTGTACCAGGAGGTTCATAACACCTCATTTCCATTCAAACATTGTTGGAATGTGTTGAGGCATCAACCAAAATGGTTTGAGACGTACCAAAAGAAAAATCCAAAATGGAGTCGAAATTCCACATCTTCACCTTCAACACCAGAGTCAGTCAATCTAGAGGAAAATGAGATCTCACGAGATACACATATACAATTGGAGAGACCAATTGGCAAGAAGAAAGAAAAAGAAAGGCTGAAAAAATTGAAGAGCCAAGATACTACAAGTTCTCCAATTGTAGACTTGCTAATTGGCATGAAAGAAGAGAAAAAGAAAGGAACTGAGAAAAAACTTGAAATGCTTGAGAAATCATATATTATTCATGTTGAAAAAGCTGAATTGGAGAAATTGAAGGAAAAAAAAGAGAATCATAATGATGGATACGAGTGGGATGTCCCCAATGCAACAAGAGTAGTATTATCAGCGTCAAATGGAAATCATTGAGAGTCGAAGAAACAGCAACATTTCCAAGTAATTTATGAAACTGTTATGTTTTTTGTAACTTTTGACTGTTAGTTTGGTAGATTTTGTTTGGATGAAATAGTTGGATCCTTTTGTGCTATATGGTTTCATGATGTAGAAACAAGGGTTCTTTTTTGTGACTTTTGACTAAAGTAAGGTTTATGTATATTTTGTAACTTTTGCTTATATAATACATTGGCATTTTGTAAGCTCTACTTGTTGGAGTTTGGTGCTACAAAGATTATTTTATTTCAGAATGAAACTAAACTGAACTGCTATTTTTTGGGTTGTTTTTACTGCTATTTCGGATACTTTTGTTGCTATTTTTGCTGTTGTTTCGGAGCTATTTTGCTATTGTTTCGAGGCTATTTTGCTGCTATTTCGGAGCTGCTTTGCAGTTGTTTTTTGTGCTGAATTTGGGGCTGTTTTGTGACTTTTTTGTGCTGAATTTGAGACTGTTTTGTGGTTATTTTTGTGCTGAATTTGGGCTTCATTTTCACCTCCAAAAACCACAAAATAATAGGATGAATTAATATGGATAATTTATAACATTTTGATCAAATGAATTCATCAAACAAAATCAAAAACATAATATAAATAAAATCATCAAAATCAATATGTCTAACACATGACTTTCCCAAAAATCAACTTACAAGCTACAGCAGTTAAAAAAAAAAAAAAAAACTTACAAGCTACATCAAAGGTTGTAATTATGAGAACCAACCTAGTGTTTAGGTCAATTCTCATTAATTCCAGATTGGCTATAGATTTGCCTATTCCAACCTAAGATTGGCTATAGATTTGCCACAAGTGCTCAACCAAATCTGATTGGAGTCGAGAATGAGTTTCTCTATCTCTTATGTGACGATGTTGTTGAATAAATTCCATGATATCAGGTGTACATTCAAGTGACAATTGTGCATGGGCGATTTTATCGATTTGTTCATAATCAATGTTTTGCTCTCCTCCGTCATCTCTTTCATCCTCAATGATCATGTTGTGTAGTATTATACAAGCCTTCATAATATCTTTAAGAGTCTGAAGATCCCATGGTCGCGTAGGTCCACGCACAATTGCAAAACGTGCTTGAAGCACTCCAAATGCACGTTCTACATCTTTTCTATACGCCTTTGGGGCCTCAGCAAAATGTTTATTCTTTTTTCCTTGTGGACAAGGAAATGTTTTAACAAAAGTTGCCCATTGTGGATATATACCATTAGCAAGGTAGTATCCCATGGTATATTCATTTCCATTAATGGTGTAATTAACTGGAGGAGCACGCCCTCGAGCAAGCTCAGTAAATACGAAAGACCGTTCTAAAACATTGATATCATTATTAGACCCAGGTAACCCAAAAAATGCATGTCATATCCAAAGATCATATGATGCTACTGCTTCCAAAATAATTGTTGGCTCATGTTCATGGCCAGTATACATACCTTTCCATGCAGTTGGGCAATTCTTCCAGGTCCAGTGCATACAATCAATGCTCCTTAACATCCCAGGAAAACCACGACTTTCGCCAACAGCTAGAAGTTTAGCAATGTCGTCGTTGTTCGGTGACCTCAAGTACTCATTAGAAAAAATTGTAACCTTTGACAAATTTCTTTAGGTTTTTCATTGCAGTACTTTCTCCGATCCTCAAGTATTCATCCATAAAATCAGTTGTTACTCCATAAGTAAGCATTCTAAGAGTTGCAGTTATTTTTTGAAGAGAAGACAAACCGAGCACTCCAGCACCATTTCTTTTCTGAACAAAAAATGGTTCATAAGCTTCTACTTCAGATTGAATGCGGAGAAAAAGAGAACGATTCATTCGAAACCTTCTCCGAAATAATTTGGGAGGATATACTAGTGGATCAGCAAAATAGTCAAGAAAAAGCCTTTGATGGCCTTGCAAAGGATTATGCCAAACGAACTCCCATCGTTTACGAGCAACATGTCATGACTTTGATGAACTCACGACTTCCATAGAAGCTATTGTAACTATCTCCAACTCATCATCGGAGTCGGAGTCATAAAGAATCATGTCTAGAAAATGAAGATCCATATATAAAAAATTAATGAGAATAGAATGAAAGAAAAATATTTCATTTAGATTGTGAGAATTAGAGAACATATGCTATTGTTTATAATAGAAGAATATGACCGGTTGAAAAATGTAACGCCCTCAAAATAAACCCATAAATCATTCAACAATAACATGCTTAGACATAAGGAAATAAAACATAAATATATTTCATTAGAGTAATCATTACAAAACGTATTACATGTTGACAACAAAAGTAAATGCCCTATGGGCTTACAACTTTCCAAGTCAACACTTTGTACAAAAAGAGAGTACTAACTCTATACAAAGAAAGCCCTTGGCTTGATATACATGTAATACATCAAGAGAAAACAAAACAACAGAAACAGTCTGTCTGCCTCTAGCCTCCCAAGCTATGTCCTTGGAGGTGGCATGCTACCTGTACCTGAAAATGATGTCCCATAAAGGGTGAGCCACAGCCCAGTAGAAATATACTAAACCAACTATAAATAATGACTAAATTAATAGCATTCAATAGATGGTCCACACTTGTATTTCAACGTATGTCGTATTACAGTTTCACGACAGTCATGCCCATGGCACACTTCAGTTTCCATTTCTTATTCAACTTTGAGTTTGAAAACAAGGCTTGGAACCTAGCCAAATGACTTAATGAGATTAAGACTCATCTTTAAAACACTTTCGAAATTCATAATGGATACATATTTTGGTGCTGTATCAATAACACATAGAAACACACTTCTATACTTCACAATTGATAACGATATACATTTTAGTGCTATAACAAATCAATTCAAACACTTCCGTAATCCACACTTGATACACGTTGTAGTGCTGTATCAATGTCACACAAAATCCGATTTGGAGGTCCATCCCCTATCTTCTCCTAAACCGTGGAATACATCCTCTATCTCCTCCCACACACAACGTATATAAACAGAGATTATATACATAATCAATCAATACATAAAGTTAATGTATTATTCCAACCGCTATACTCGATAGCATACTCAATCAATTAGCTTTAGTTTACCTAATCATCATGCATTGTCTACAACAATCAAGACTATCTTCCACCAATAGCCCAAAGCAGTTATTTCTAAACAGAAAATAAATGCACCAAATGGATAAAATATCAACATTTCAACTAGGTGAGTGATAAATGATCCAACTACACCCTTTAATCTCATACGATCCCAATTTCAACATTTTCAATTCAACTTCTCATTTCTCAAAATTAATTTCGCAAATTAATTCATCAATGTAATTAGGGCATTTCCCATAATTAACAAAACAACCCTAAGGTTCCATTTCTATCAATAACCCAACATTTATCTCATTTCCCCATGCTAAACATGCATATAGGTTTATATAAGTAAAACCCCTTCTTTTGTAAAATTACATAAAGGCCCAAACTTTCTCAAAATTACCCAATAACCCCCAACATATCAAAATGCTAAAATTTAAAAAAAAAGCTCATAAAGAGGAGTAGGATATCCCTACCTCGAAGTTAGAGCTCAAACGGGAAAGTTAAAGAAAACCAAAATGCTCCAAACTCCAAGATCCACGGATCAAAACGAAGCCCTCGACGATTCACGCACTTTTTACAAAGGCCGAAGGGAAAGGGGACACTCTAACTAGATCAAACCCTAGAGAGAAGGGAGATCCTAGAGAGAGAGGCTCTCAAAAACAATTTTGGGAAAGTAAGAGAGAGAAAGGAAATGTAAAAAGTGATTTAAAATTACCCAGCGGATGACTCATATACGTATGACCCGCTCGAGCAGAGAATAGAACGCTCAAGCGTCAAGCACAAAAATCTGGACCCACTCGAGCGCAAAAAGGCCCGCTCGAGCTCCAAGAAACAAAAGTAAAACACATCCGCTCGAGCGCGAAGAACAAGTCCGTTCGAGCGTAGATTTTCATCTCCCATAACTTTTACAGACAAAGTACTACCCGCTCGAGCGCCAAGATACCCGCTCGAGCGTGAAAAATACACCTGCAGAAGTTTTGCAGGGACATGAGATACTGGGAGTGTGTAAATCCCGCTCGAGTGCAAGAAGGCCCGCTCGAGCGGAAAACCAAAAACCAAACTCCGCTCGAGCGCAGAATGATCCGCTCGAGCGTAACACCAAAAACCTGGGCAACTACACTTGAGACCAAAACTCAACCTACCTGTTCAGAACACGCCCAACACATCCTATAACTCAAATACAAGGTACGAAAGGATGTAAACAAGATATAAACGACTGTTAACATCCACGGAACCAAGTCCGGATCACTGTATAACAAGGGGTAAAACTCAGAATCGCTATAACCTTCCCCCCTTAAAGAATTTCGTCCTCGAAATTAAATACAAGTTTTTCAAAAACAAGATTTTCTCAATTCCCAACATTATTATAATGTGAAATTTAACAACTAGACCCCTTTATCGGTCATTTCATCTCTTTTCAAGAGGCAATTTACAACATTTTCCACAACATGCATTATAGATATGCATTCCCTGAAATTTCACAAATTTCGATACCACACTCCACAATTCTATATCATATTCAATATTCATGATACATTCTGATTTCTACAATACATTCAACATATGCAATGTTTACATTAAACTTCCATTTTAAGGCAAGTTCCAAAACATAATTCCATAAACCAAAACATATACCATGTTTTACAACTTAAGCCATATATAATGCTCTTAAAGTTCAACAATATTACAAAATCACAATATATGATTACACATCAATAAACATGTCCGGATATTTTTCACGGACTTCCAACTCACGTTCCCAAGTGGCTTCCTCCACTCCGTGATGCTTCTACAAAACTTTAACCAAGGGAATGGTCTTGCCTCGCAAGACTTGATCCCGCCTATCCAAGACCCAAACCGGTCTCTCCTCATACGAGGCATCCTCATCTACCTTTAAGTCGGTCCAATCCAATACATACGATGGATCCGGCTCATACTTCCGAAGCATACTCACATGAAACACGTCATGCACTCTAGACAACTGTGGTGGCAAAGCCAAACGATAAGCAACCTCCCCAATCCTCTCAAGGATCTCAAAGGGACCAATAAACCGAGAAGATAACTTCTCACTTTTCCCAAACCTCATCAAACCTCGCCTAGGTGTTATTTTTAGAAAAACATGATCACCCGTCTCAAAAGCTAAAGGCCTCCTCCTACGGTCAGCATAACTCTTTTGACGACTCTGGGCTGTAACAAGCCTCCTACGGATAAGCTCGACTTTCTCCGTCGTTTCTCTCACCAGCTCCGAGCCTAACAAAGGTGCATCACCCACCTCGGCCCAACATACTGGAGACCTACAAGGTCGGCCATACAAGGCCTCAAACGGTGCCATACCGATACTAGACTGAAAGCTGTTGTTGTAGGCAAACTCCACCAAGGGCAAGTGTCTCTCCCACGTCCCACTAAAGTCAAGGACATAACCTCGAAACATATCCTCAAGGATCTGAATAGTACGCTCGGACTGCCCATCAGTCTGAGGATGATAAGCCGTGCTAAAGGTCAACATAGTGCCCAAGGCACTCTGCAAACTCTGCCACAACCTCACAGTAAAACGAGGGTCTCTATCTGAGACGATCATCACTGGGACCCCGTGCAACCTCACTATGTCCCGAATATACAAGTCGGCAAGATGATCTACCGAATCTCTCACGCGCATAGAGATAAAGTGCGTCGACTTAGTCAACCAGTCTACAATCACCCAAATAGCATCACTACCCCGCTGAGTCCTCGGAAGACCTACAACGAAGTCCATAGTGACATGCTCTCACTTCCACTCGGCAATATGCAAGGGTTGCAACAAACCCGCTGGCCTTTGATGCTCGGCCTTCACTTGCTGACAAGTAAAGTACTTAGACACGAAGACCGCCACATCCTTTTTCATACCCCACCACCAAAACTAGCGACCCAAATCCCGATAAATCTTAGTGCCTCCCGGATGCACCGCAAGGCGTGAATGACGAAACTCTTGGAGTACCTCCTCTCGGCAAGACTCCGACACAAACAAACGATCTCGGTATCTCACGCTCTGGTCGGGATACACCGTCAAACCCTTCTCAACCTTCCCACTGGAAATCTTCTCTCGAAAAGACTCTACCTCAAGGTCACCTCCCTGTGCCTCTAACACTCGAGTCACAAGTGTAGGCTGTGCAACAACCGAAAACAAGGCCGCAGCCTCAACGGATTCGCCCAAAAGCAAATCAAACTCGCCAAGTGCACCCAACATCTCCCACTCCCAGATGGCTATACAAGCTACATCACTAATGGATTTCCTGCTAAGGGCATTGGCCACTACATTGGCCTTCCCCGGATGATAGTGTTACTCAAAGTCGTAGTCCTCAATGAACTCCATCCACCTTCTCTGCCTCAAGTTCAAGTCTCTCTGTGTAAACAAGTACTTCAAACTCTTATGATCCGAGAACACCTCGAACCTCTCCCCATAAAGGTAGTGCCTCCAGATCTTTAAGGTAAAGATCACAGCTGCTAGTTCCAAGTCATGTGTAGGGTAATTTTTCTCATGTATTTTTAACTAACGTGAGCCATAGGCCACCACTTTCCCTTCCTGCATTAACACAAAACCCAAACCTTCTCGTGAGGCATCACAATAAACTGCATAACCCAAACCTCTCTCCAGAATAATCAAAATCGGAGCGGTGGTCAATCTAACTTTCAGCTCTTGGAACGACTTTTCACAAGTCTCACTCCATACAAACTTGACCCCTTTCCGCGTCAATCTAGTCAACGGCGAAGCTAGCCTGGAGAAATCCTTCACAAATCGGCGGTAATACCCAGCTAATCCCAGAAAACTGCGGATCTCAAACACACTCTTAGGCTGTGTCCAATCTTGCACTGCCTCAATCTTGGATGTATCAACAGACACCCCTTCTCCGGAAACCACATGGCCTAAGAACTTGACTTCCCCTAGCCGGAACTCACACTTCCCAAACTTGGC